TCTTAACTATTTAGTTATGCTCAAATTAGTATTAAAAGTCAAAACTAGTAATTAATATATATCTTCAATAAAAACGTTGTGAATTTGATCCCTACCTATTGTATTCGAAAAAAAAATAGCATTAAAAATTTGATAAACATTCATTTATCATTTCAGTTAATACATTGATAACCTTAGATTAAATATTTGAATCTTCACCTAAATTCCTAATTGTTATATTTAAAAAATGTAACATTTTTACTAAATAAGACCATTATTAGAGTTGGCAATCCGAATATTATTGGTTAAGGCATGAAATGTGAACATAGACTTAATGGTCAAGAGTTAAAAAGACATATCTAGGATGGTAGAATCCAGTTTTTTTTAATACAATATATGGGGGTGGGTGATTGAACTGACAATCTCTTAGTTTGAGCAATATGTTAATTACCGTCCGGCTATACTCGTTTTGGCTGGTAAAATCGAGTTTTCATCCCACATTTATAATGTTATACATTATAAAAATAAATTAATAAATAAATCGTTATGTCCACGGGTAAAAAATTGAAATTATAGTTAAGCTCAACCAACATGAACTTATCTCAACGATACTTAATTCCTTCATTTGAGATCGGATCTCTCAACCCCACGGGTCAAAAGGCCTAAAAATATAAAAAAAAATTGAACTACAAACCTTTTAAATGGTAATCCATTCTAAAATCTTATCTTAAAACTTCCTAGTAATTTCTCATTGCTAAATGCTAATATAATTCTCTTAATATTTATTAAAAGTCAAATTAATTTAATTATTCAAAATGTCAAATTTTCTAAATTTTTATTTCCTTTGGACTCTTCTTGTTTACTCCATTGCCATTTAAGACCAAACCAGCTCCTTCCTTTGCTCCGCTCTTCCCCTCCCATGGCGGAAACTTCTGACAAAATCCCTCCTCCCAATCGCCGACTCCATTTTCTTCTACGTTGCTTCGGATCTTCTCCGAAGATACGAACCGGAAAAGACCCGGCGACCGTGAAGCCCACCACCGGCCGACGTAACCGCCGGATTCTGTGGCTTAGGTCTCGCTTCAAGAAGTCTTCTGCAACTGTGCCGGTCGACACCGCCGTGCCGGAGATTACTGATTGCTGCCACGATGAAGGCTTTTCATCGCCGAAATTGAAGAAGCCGGCGCCGATTAAGTCTAAAGCTCCGGCAGTCCCGGCTTACGCTACTGAGTCGACGAGACCGAGTCGTTTAAGGACCAAGGCGAGTCAAACTCGGAAGAACACCGAGTCAACTCGGTCCGATTCCACGGCGGGAAATCTCCCGTCGGCGACTCGAACCGCCTCGTTGCTCCACTCCGTCTCTCTCCCTGCCCGGAGATTGAACCGCCAAAAAGATTTGAAAAAAGCAGTCTCTCAGATCCACGCCGGCGCCACCGCGCCGGCACCGAAGCCCTCGACGAATTCGCCGGCTAAATTCGACCTATCAGTAAAGACAAATCCTCGCAAGAAATTCGATCCGGTGATTATAATGTCCGCCGTGGCGATTACGGTACTGTGGGGGAGACTCTGCGCCATACTGTGCACGGCGGCGCTGTTCTACCTCGGCCGCCGCTTGAGTTCGGTAATCGAACCGGACGGCGGTGGCGAGAGAAGCCGCGATTTGAAGGCGGAGAACAGATTGAAGAGGAGGTAGTTTCTTTTTTCCCCTCTTTTTCTCGGAGGGATTTCTTGGCGGAGTACGTTGGTGAAATGCGGTTTCTGTGAGGCGCCACGTAAGCAAGCTCTGAGAACATTTTAATGGCGACACTTGGAACTGACAAGCTATTTTGTTTTTTTCTAATTTTTGTAAATTAAACTAATAGCGTGTGGTAAGAGTTTTTTTTTTTTTTTTTTTTAAATCATGTGTGTAAGAGTTAAACGTTGTAAAAATAATAGTTTAGCAAATAAATGTAAATACAATAAAATAAATATCTAATCAGTTATTTTCATGAATGAACATTCTCATCTACAAACTTTGTGTTTTATTTATTATTTTTTTTAACTACAACTAAGAGGTGGGAGGTATATGTCAATTATCTTTATTTTGGMTTTGCCAACTTTGAGTTTTATTTTATTCAATATTCTATCACTTAATTTCCAATATTATTATATTTTAGTTATTTAAGGTTTAAAATATTTATTTTAGTCACAATACATTATTAAAAGAGGGCTTAAATGTCCCTAATTTTTTTTATTACAAGAAATGGAGATGTAAGATCCAACTCACAACCTCTGGATGAGAGATATATGTCAATTATTATTGATATATACTCGCTTTGGCAAATATCCCTAAACTTTTAAGGTTGCATCATTGAGTTATTATATASTTTTTAAAAATTAATGCATCTATTAGACGCAAACTTGAAAAGTCATATTCTAATATAAAACTAAATATGGTGCCAAATGAGGCAATAATTTTTTATTTTTTAATGTCAAATAGGTCGGGTACTTGTTAGACACAAAATTCAAAGTTAAGAGATACATTGGACAATTTTTAAAATTATTGATTTCTTAGACACAAAATATAAAGTTTAAACACCTCTTRGACATATTTTAAAGTTTGAGAACCTACTGAACATAATCTTTTAAAATTCCTAGATTAAATTTTTAATTCGACTAAAGAGATTTCACCCCATTACATGAATTTAATATGTAATATAAAAGATGTATAATTATTTATCTTGTATATAAGTGTGACTTTTTTTAATTGTGTTTTATATTACATTTTAATTTTAATTGGATTTATTTATTTTATGCTATATTTATTTATTTGCTTTGCTTTTAACAAATAAAGTAGCTTGAATGGACATGTGTACTAAAACAAATAGTTTGAGAAGCAAATACTAAAGAAGCGGATATTAAGTTGCAATAACAAAGACTGAAATGGTTATTCCTTAAATATATTTAGTAATTAAAATAGATATTTTTTTTTAAATGTACTAACAAACATGATTGTTTTCTTTTAATTGTAAGGACTAAAATATGCTATTTTGGATCCAACCATTCTTAAAAAATTAGGAATCAGACTGAGGTATAAAGTCTAAAAAAAAAAAAGGAAACAAACAAACAAAAAGAGAAGAGATATAAACAATTTTTAATAGAAATTATCATAATTTGTATTGATTAATATCTATTTATAAAAATCAATGTAATCAGTCAATGGTCTTAAGTTTTGTTATACTTCATCTTTTTATTCTCAGTGAATGATATTTTTGTGAAATTGAGAAAATTCAAAACGGCTAAAGATTGAATAATAGAAAATGCTTTACTTAAAMATTAATCTAAGAACGATTTTCCTTTTGATATTGTCTTATTGGAACTTCTCTCRTTCTTTTGATCGAAATTTTATTTTTACCAACATAACAACGTAAATTTGAGCATATACCATACATTAGAATAAGATGATTTAAAATACATATTTTGAAAATGCAGGAAATAGAGGATTAAAATATATTAATCTCAAGAATTCAAATATCAATATATTTTTTATTTTATTAGAAAAACTAATTTCGTTTTTCTATGTACTACGTTAGTTATCCWTCTTTTTAATTGTCCTGGTCGTTGTCAGCTCTTTTTAATTGCCTAATTGACTTCGTATTACTATTTTTTTAATTTATTTTCTAATTAAAAAATGCAGTATTTAGCGTATTGCACCATCTTTCTACCGGTTTCATTATTACCACAAATGCCATTCATTTAATTTTACCAGTAAATCACCGGAATGTAACTTTTTTCGTTTATTTTTGTTTTGTTTTCAATTTTTGAGAAATATAAACTACTCATAGCTGTTTTCTTACTTTTTTTTATTTTTTATTTTTAATATAAGTTTTTTAAATGGGTTAGAAATTTTGGAAACAATGTAGTCGAATTTTCTATTTCTTATTAACGATCCTATTGTTTCTAAAACATATATATATAATGCATAATAGATATAACACAAAAATTTTAAATATTTAACTTAAAAATTTTCCCCTTTAAATAATTACCAAATATATTGTTATTTATTTTTCAACAGTTACTTTCTTGATTGAAAAAAAATAAACTACATCCAATCTAACAATAAAATAAATGTTTATGAATTGACTCTAAAACAATGATAAATATGTCTAATTTTATGTCTAATTTACTTTTATCTATATCTATAAATAGACTCTAGGATGCCAACGAGAATATAGCTCACTAGATTAAGAGAGTTCGAATTTCCACCTCCACACATTGTACTTAACAAAATAGATTCTAAAAGTATATAGTTATCGATTTAAAAAATATATTATATCTCTCGCAGTAAATTACAAAAGGAGAGAGAGTATATATGTATGTATGGAGATGTAAATAATGGTTACACATAGAAACTTTTACTTCCTATTTTATACTTTTCATTTAACCCTTTCTACTATAATTTGATGGCAATTATGTCATTCATCCTCTTTCTCAACCATTTTCTCTCAAATTTCACTCATTCTTCTCAAATTAACTCTCTCTCTTGTGCTCCAAAAAAAAACTCTCTCTCTCAAATTCAAGTTTTTTCATTTATTAAAGTTATTAATGATGTGTTTTACTTCTAAAATTTAAAGTGTTTTTGCACCCTCGGGTGTTAGCGCAGTGGCAAGAGGCTTGATATCCAAGATCCAGGTTTAAGCCCTCCTGTGTCAAGAAGTCAAAAAATAAATAAATAAAGTGTTTTCTCTTCCTCTCTAATTAATTTTGTCCATTTTATCCGTTGGTCTCTCCTCAATCTAGTGAAGTCCGCATTATCTTCTAAAATTGCGCTTTTAAACTAGTACCTCTTTCGATAAAAAAATGTTAGCGAATTCAAATTTCTACCTCACATATTATAATAAAAAAAAGGTCAATTATTTTTTCTTTAAAAAGTCACCAACTGTGATTTCTCTTTTTCCTTTCTTCTTCTTCTGTTGATGGTCTTTTAGCTCCCCTGAGCCTGGGCTTCCTATTTGGGCCGTGAATGTTTATAATTGGGCCCAATCCACAAACGCAAATATATAACTCTCGTTTCGCCGTCAATTACTACTTCCCCATCAATTAGGGTTTTCTGGGCAGGCCTCGTCGACGTTTCGCAGTCATGGTACTCTTCTTCCTCTCCGTCTCTCCATTCAATTCTGTTAGATTCTCATGTAATTTGTTCAATCTCATGTATGTATTTGTGCGCTCTCTGTCTGATCTCATGTTCGATTTTGTTCTGTTTGGTTGTCGAAGAACTCTTTAGTGGGATTAGTAAATCGTTGAACCAATATGTTGGATTTTGAAAGTTTAGCTTTCTTTGGAGTTAAACGCCGAAGCAGAGCGTAGATGGTGGAATGTTCACGCCTTTTTTTTCTCTTGTGTGGTTATTTTTATTTGTTCACACTAGCACTTGATCTGGGATTGTGCACGGAAGTCGACTGGTTTATCTGTTGTGGTCTAATATAATGTGAGTAAAGAAGTACTACTATTTGTAGCTAAAGTTATCTGGGTTATGGTTTTACTGAATGTATGATTCTTCTGATGACTGAAATCAGGTGTCACTGAACTTTTGAATTCGTTAGTTAGTTTACATCATTTAAATTTACGGAGCTTAAATTGTTTCTTTTCGGGTGTTTGTTCAAAATAAGGTATTCTTTGTCACATGGAACGGCTTATAAATTCTTGAGACTTGATTTTTAGTTCATTTAATGGTACATAAAAAATTTTAGGCTTCTGAATAGGAATGCAGTATTGTAGGATCACCACTCATGCCTTTGCTGACTACCGTGGCAGCTCTAAATCTTCCAAAATTTAATGGTGGTTAGCATGAGATGGGTGTTAACCTATCAACACCCCAGTATTGTTCTTGTCTTATTGCTCTGTTTAGTTTGTAGTGGCAATTTTTAGATTTTGACTGTGTATGTGTAATGGGTAACAGGTGAACGTTCCCAAGACGAAGAAGACTTATTGCAAGAGCAAGGAGTGCAGGAAGCACACCTTGCACAAGGTTACACAGTATAAGAAAGGAAAGGATAGTCTTGCTGCACAAGGAAAGCGTCGGTACGATCGTAAGCAGTCAGGATATGGAGGTCAGACCAAGCCTGTGTTTCACAAGAAGGTTAGTAAATATTCTCACATTCGATCAAATTCTTATCTTTTCTATTCAATGAGGCCTCGGGATTAAAATCGAGGTGAAATTCTGGAATCTCACAGGCAAAAACTACCAAGAAGATTGTGTTAAGGTTGCAATGCCAAGGTTGCAAACACGTCTCCCAGCACCCTATCAAGGTTAGAATGCAGAGTATTTCATTATATCTTCTCTTTGCAGCATCTCTCTATTCACTATCTTGTTAATTTGATGCACTTTCCTAACAATCTTTAAACAATATGGTGATGCTCAAACCAAAACTAATAAGCCTGTAATCTCTTGGGTCCAATACCTTTTCCCCCTTACAACGATAACCACTGCTTGTTTTTTGAATGCGTCTTCATTCTTCGAGCACTCACATTTCCTCTTTGGGGTTTAAATATTAGGTTGGTACTATGTGTTGCAGTTGTGATATGCTTGTGAAGCACCATATTTCGAGTAATCGTTTAGTTGTTTTAGAACATACGTTCAAAATTCAAATGAGGAAGCCTTGTTATCTGTTGTTATCTTGGTATTGTGCCGATCCCTTGTCAAATTTCTAACGAAATGACTGAATTTTCAAATGCAGAGATGCAAGCACTTTGAAATTGGAGGAGACAAGAAGGGCAAGGGAACTTCTCTTTTCTAGATCCATTGCAGTTCTTTGTCTTTTGTTGTCTCTTTTTTCACAAGATCATTTGTTATTGGGAGTTTAGCAGCATTACTCTGTTTTGTTCAGCTTTTTGTTGTTCCACATGTTAGCTGAAATTATCTATGTTATCGAATTTTAAAATCGATGCTCTTCTGTCGAATGGGTTCTGTTGATTTGTTTCTACTCGAGGAGCTTGCATGGTGAACTACCAATCACATTTTACAAAATTAATTGGTTGATTATAATCAAGTGATGACTTCTTGCATACTGAGTTTGGAGATAATGTGCATATTTGGAGATAAGATAAACTACATAGTTTGAAATGTTTTCATTTGGTTTAAAACAGAAGGCTTGAAATATACATTTTAATTCAATTAAAATTTAAGTGGCCGTGAACCAATTTGAAAATTGATAAGTTTTTAGTGATGTCATAATTGTAGCAAGTCATGTAGACATTCAACTCTGTTTCCCAAAAGAAAGAAAAACCAATAGATTTGAACTTTATCGATCAATTTTTCCATCTTCGATGAATTAATCTAAAATAGTAATCTAATATCATCTTACAAACACTCATATAGCTGTTTCAAAATTTTTATTTTATGCATCAAACCAAATCTCAACTTCCTAATCATTTCATGGTAATGGAATTTTTCTAATGTTTATCCTCGTTGACCAAAATAGACAATTATGAATTGTTTCCACTGACGATCCCTTTTGTTTCATATTCACGAATCTAGATTGCTTTGCATATTTATAGAATTAAAATTTTTTTTTAAAAAAAACACCAACTAAACCTARTAATAGATTTTAAACGTCAATGTCAAAAGAAGAGTTTTATGAAAATATTACCCTCTATATTTCTAGAAAAACTATTATAAGTATTTAAATTAACGAATAAACCTTTCATCTTTTTTTAATAAGTTAAAAATTATAAATATTAGTTATGTCTATATGTCAATAATATTTTAATGATATTTTGGCGTTATATTAAAATATTAGTAATTTTATGAACATAACTCAGGTGTTAAATGGAAATATCGATTTCTAACTCATCAAACTCCTCTAGCATCTTTTCAAACGAAAATCTACAGTCAATAATTTACATAACTAACTGCCAACCTGAACTTAATTGTTAAGGCACTTTGCTCTCCCCTAGAAATTGGAAGTTTAATCCCCATCCAAATTAACAGAACTAAGTAGCATGTTCCTGAAATTAATTTTATTCTTGCTCATAATAAGTAGTCAAGTCAATAATTAATAGTCCTGTTTGTTGAACTTAAAAACAAAAACAAAAACAAAAATGAAAAAATCAACAAATAATAGAAAGAATGAGAATGCAAGGCTCTAAAATGGTGGCCAAGCCAAAAGAGTCAAAGTGAGTCCTTTGATACCATGAGTATGTCCATGGATCTGATAGCAGCTCACCATCAGAAGAATACACCTTGGCATTACATTGGAGTCGCCAGTTTCTACCATATTTTAGCTCCAAGTCCTCTCACAAACAAAGGCCAATCTGTGCTATCTCCCTAACCAAGAGGAAGCAGAAAATCAGTAGCATTTTTTCCTCCATTGTCCTTTCATACAATTGATTTGGCCAAAGATTTTAGCTCTCTTTGGCATAAGCTGGTCTTCCCAAAAAAATTGAGGCAACTTTTTGGATCACAGAGTCTTTGTAGAGGAATCTTCTAATCTCGAGACTTTTTCAAGACTCGGTCAGACTCTTTACCTCCATCTAGTGTTATCTTTCATAACCTTTTCGTAATTACGATCTTGTTAATCTTATGGCCAATTGGAAGTCCTTTTTATAACCCTTTGGCTTGTAGGGATATTTTATCCATCTTCTTTTTCTTTTTTTGGTATGATCTTGCTCATCAGTATATTCTTTGTAAATACACTTCTAATTGATAAAAAAAGCATCAAAAAGTGATCAAATATATATAAATGCACATTATAAATCCATGTTCACATCTTAACACCCATCTGCTCTATGTATCTCTCTAATCAACAAATGATGCAAAATTTTAAGGAAAGAAAATTCATCCATATCTCACAAATTTGGGCCTACCGACTACGAAACGCTAATTCACTCAATAACCATGTGTCTAACAGATTGAAAATTAATGTTCAACCAAAGGACAACTGCATCAAATAGTGAAAACAAGCAACAAAAGACTAACACTGCGCTGAAGAAACACTAAGAACTTGAAAATGTGATTTATGATCATAAAACATTTGTTTGGTTGAATAATCTAGGTCAAATTCCAAAATAACCATGTTTTCTACTATTAAAGCAGTCTTTCCTCGGTGGTATTCACAATATAAACACAAATGAGCATATCATAACACATAAATCTTAAAGTCAGCCAGTCCTAAACTGATGGTGCAAAGTAACCAACTGTACCTAAACTGAAGTACAGATCTCCTCGGTCTGATGTGTTCAATAAAATTGTACCACAATCCTGTCAGTATATTATAAAACCACTATAGTATTTCGATAAATTATGCGGTGACGCGATGCAATAATGTTAATGAGTTTCCATTTCCCGTGTCATGTAATGGATGCATTATTTGTATAACTTTGCAAAAGCATAAAATGTGATTCACTTGTAACATGATATGCCATTGAAGTAAAATTAGAAGATAGATGCAATATATAGTAAAAACGGCATATATACAGGCAAAATTTGAAATTTTATTAGAGTTCATGATTTTCTCTTTGAAGTGCTGTTAATAGCTGTTGAAAAACCTATATCATTGCTGAACACACAAAATAACAATGCTGATCCAAACAGCCAAAGGAAATTTTAACTAGGAAAAATAATTATTTCCATCACATCTAGGAAGATAACATCGACTTTCAGATCAATTTAACAGAAGTCAGTATGGAACTTGAAAAATGTCATGCTTTCACGTCAAGATCCTACCTCGAATTCTTAATTTGAACCTTTATCCTTGCCTTCGTCACCAACTGCATCAGTGACCAGGGCTATTGGCCTTTGATCAATAACCTCGTCGATTATGCCAAACTCCTTTGCCTCTTCTGGGGTCATAAAATAGTCCCTATCCATATACTTTTGAATAATATCTACTGACTGTGATGTATGCTTGGAGTACAGCTCATTCAATGCATCCCAAACCCGAACAATCTGTTTCGTGTGAATCGTCATGTCCTTCGCTTGCCCACTGTATCCACCAGAAGGCTGGTGAATCATGATGGTTGCATTAGGAAGCGATCGTCTCTCACCCTTGGCACCTGCAGCTAGAAGAAGAGAAGCCATGGATGCAGCCTGACCCAAACAGATGGTATTGATGGGAGACCTGATGTACTGCATGGTATCATATATAGCAAGACCTGTAAATACATGGAAAATATTGGCAACCTATCAAAGATGAAAACCCTGAATCTTCTAATGCAGGAAAGGTTGCCATTTGAACAAAATTTATGATTACAAGTTTTTAATATACAACCAATTCGAAGCCTATATTGGGGTAACAAACGGTAGAACTAGCATATGGGGGCGAGGTACATTGAGTTCCAGTATGAGATTAGCTGAAGACAAAGCTTCGTAATTAGATACTAAGCTCGCATTTGATAACAATTTCACTTTCATTTTCTGTTTTGAAAATTATGCATCTTTCAAATTTGGCTTACATTTTGAAACCATTTTAAAAAGTAGATAACCAACAGACAAAACACAGGATACAAAGCTTCATTTTCAGAAACCAACACCTAAAGACCAAATGGTTACAGCGCCTAAAATAATTAGAACTTCCGTTCGTTTTTGGTCAACAGACGTCAAATTTGGAAAGCATAATTGGAGTTCAAAATCCAACATAGTTTGCACACTCAAAAGTCAGAAAAAAACAAGTTCAAGAAGAGTAAGATAAAATGCACAGAACAGCATAATGATTGAATTAACACGCGTCTTTCTATTATACCGGCAGTGACGGCGCCGCCGGGGGAGTTGAGGTACATATTGATGGGCTTCGAGGGGTTCTCAGACTCGAGAAAGAGGAGCTGAGCGACGACGACATGAGAAGTATCGTCGGAAATGGGGCCGTTGATGCAAATAATGCGCTCCTTGAGAAGGCGAGAGAAGATGTCGTAGGCTCTTTCTCCCCTCGATGTGTGTTCAATCACCATCGGAATCAGGCTGTAAGCGCGGCGGAAATCCCTCGCCGCCGTTGTTCCGTTCGCCGGCGAGGTGGATTTGGCAAGCAGCATTGAGGTCGAAGCTAGACTCCTCCAAATCATGGCGAATTGATTCAAAAGTAGGGATTGCGAGCGAGGGTTTATCAGCCTCAACCTCCAAATTTCAGAGTTTTCTTCTCTCTTTCCCCTCTTACCTCCCGCTCTCTCTTTCTCGAGAAATCTGAACTCTGAAGCGCAATTTGATTCTCTTTTGCTCATAGTTGTGGGCCGGACGCTGCTCTCTTTCCTTTTAATCAGCCCATTGGGCCTTTTTCCTTTTATTTTTGGGCTTGCCTGTCTAGGCCTTAACACTTTTTACAATTTTTGGGATTTAACCCTAATTTATGGATATATAAGGATTGATATTATTGTTTTAGTCTTTTGAAGGGTTTATTTTAATTTTTAAATTTTAAGGTTGTTATTAGAGGAAAAATAATAACAAAATGCTGAAATTGTTTTTTTATTTTATTTTATAAGATTATAATAACATTGTAAAATTTAGTGCTCGTACCACACAAAAGTATCATATACTAAATTTCAAAGTTTAGTGTTGATGGACAAATAAATAAATAACCCTAATACGAGTGTAATATAACATTCAACACTCTCCAAATTTACTTGCAAGTTATATCATTCATTTCCTACCATTCAGCCAAAATTTAACTAAACCAAAATATAGTAAAAACCAATTTTCTCATTTTTAGCCGTGTTGAAATTCGATATTAAATTTTCAACATTAGTCTTACCAAAATGAACCACACATACTCCTACATTATATTATCTAGATATTCATTATTGACTCCACGTAAAAACTTGGTTAATTTAAAATTTTAGTCAAACATACAATAATACTATGTTTAATGAGTTCATAAGCTTAAAAAATATATATTAAATAGGTTGTTAAAATTTCAAATTTCAGTGAAATATGTTCATAAACTTTATAAGTGTACAGCCAACGCCACATTTTTCAAAACTTACATTCATACTATACATTAATCTAAAAATTTAATAAACCTAGATGGTAAGTTTTTTCAACAATAAATTTTTATTTTTATTTTTATACAATATGTGGGAGTGGAGGATCGAACTTACGACATCTTAATAGGAAATATGTGTCAATTACCGCTTAGCTATGCTAGTTTTGGCACCTAAATGGTAAGTTAACGGAAGATTATTATTATATTATATATATTTTTGTTGATCCGGGTCGGGTCAAGCATATCCATATACCCAAATTGAGGCGGGCCGGGGCCGTAAGAACCCTATGAGTGTGAGACGAGAACTTTGATATATCTCTCTCCGCTCAATATTTCTGGCTTTCCCTTTTTGTCTCGGCTTTCCCTCTCCGTCTCCAAAATCTCTCCCCCAACTCCCAAATACCCTCTACTGCACTCCACTTTTCTCTAAATTACCAACAGGTCCTGCTCCGACCACCCACCCAATTTCCCAAATCCCCCACACCCACAAATCTTCCCCTCAATCAACAATCTTCGCCACTCTCCGCCGCCACTCCTCAATTTTCCGGCGCTAAAACCTCCCCCCCTCCTTGCCCTGATGCTATAGCTCCACCACCGCCGGGGCCATCCACCGCCGGCGAAGCTTTCATCGTCCCCCGGTTTCCTGGGGATACTTCTCGGTCCGTGTGGATTCTGAAAGTCCTTTTTCTGTTTCGGGTTTTGCCCCCGGAGCCTGTGGTATTTGAATCTTTTTTTAGGGTTTCTTTGTTTGTTGTACGTGTATACGCCATGCCTCCGGGTCGGAGACGGGGAGTAAATAAAGCCAAGGCCAATAGAGAGCTCAGCTTGGGAGATCTTGTCCTCGCTAAGGTCAAGGGTTTTCCTCCTTGGCCAGCCAAGGTACAATCTTCGCTCTCTCTCGCTCTCCCTCCATTTCTCTGTTTATTTTATTTTATTTTTCCCAAATGCTGCTGCGAATTTGTTCGTGTGGTGTACTGCAATTTGGGCAATGTGTTTCGCAGGAACCTGTAGTTTCATGAGTATCGAGGTGGTACTGTGATGTAAATTTTTTTAGTTATCGTTAGTCGTCCTACTTCTCTTATTCTTTCAGCGTACTTGTTGCGTTTTCTTTATTGTTTCTGCGATGTTTGGCTTCTTAAGAACTTTTTCGAGCTTGCTGTTGCTGTGTTATTTTCTCTATACTCATATTAATCTCTTCCTCAAGATTGTAATTTCGTCTCAGTTTTGTTTTTTTGTTTTTTTTCCTCGGTTTATTGTTGTTGTTTTTGGTGCAGGATTACAATTTTTTTTGGTTAGATCTCATGTAAAAATATATGTTTCATGAACTAGGATCAGGGCATAATCATGCGTTATCTCTCTCGTGCTAATCAAAGTTGCTTTCATTAGGAATGAAAGTACAATAGAGGCTGAATAAAATACGAACCATAAACAAGCAAAGGAGCCTCAAAAGTAAATTACAATTAAGGGCTCTAGTTGCGTGCAATAAATAACAGAAGATTACAAGAAGGTTTAATCACATGGGTCCGAATAAAAGCATCAATAATCATATGTTCTTGCCATTATTTTTATCGAGTGTCGAGGTGAAAGAGCGTGTTCTTTTTGGTAGTAAGCTAATTGTCAGGCTATTTTATAAATGAGAAGTTAACTGTGTGGCTAGGGTTTGGAGTGTCAATTATTTTGAACGAGGATAACTACTTAGCCATTTGGAGTTATAGGGTATGACGGTGTTATGTTTACAGATTAGCAGGCCCGAGGACTGGGAGAGATCTCCTGACCCCAAGAAATGTTTTGTCCATTTCTTTGGAACGCTAGAAATGTAAGTATCTATCTCTTAGTTTTTGTTTTAATTCGAGCATGAAATGTGGATACACTTCTCTCCACCCCCTCCCACTCTCTCTCTCTCTCTCTCTCTCATATATATACAAAGGCTAGGTTTATGCATATGGCTTTGATTTCCAAGTGGACTGCTCAATTGAGATCAGCAGCCTGGAAAGGTGTTTCAGAATGGATACATAATGCTCATTGTAATTGTCATAGAAAATAGGTTCCTGAATACATTGTTTGGCATAGGGTTGCTTATATTTATTTATTATCTTCTAAATATTTTTTATTGTAAAAATTGTTACTTTGTCGAAGTTACCGGGAATTTAGTTGCTACATTTGAACCAATAAGTTTTACCCACCGGTTACTGACATTACTTTCTCGTACGTGCATGCATAATTCACCAATTAGTTTTTATGTGTCAAGGTTTGTTTCAAATACACTCTTTTGTGTCCGTTCATAGGTTTAAAATACTCTCCCTGCAATCTTCTTTGTTATTGGTGGCTAAATTTAACTTAGAACGATCTATGTATTCGTTTCATAATTCATATTATTTTCAAATGCTGACTTTGTCTAAATTTTGATAGCTTCAGTTGTTTTCCTTTTCACCCCTTCTACTGGTATTCATTCCTTGTATGTCTTTCTTTTCTTCTCCTTCTGCATGCTAGGGTTCACAATATATACCTTTTGGTGTTTACTTTCTAATATTTTTTTTTTCTTGATCCATTGCAGCAAGTCATTATTTATGTGTCTTTCTTTCCTCTCCTGTATTCATATTCTATGAACACACATGTACATTCTACAATTTTTTAATATCTTTATCCATGTATTGAAATTCACAGAGCTTTTGTAGCCCCTGGTGATATTCAGGCCTTCACTATTGTGGAAAAGAACAAATTATCAGCTCGTTGCCAAGGTAAAACAACTCAGTTTGCTCAGGCTGTGAGGGATATATGTGCAGCATTTGATGAAAAACAAATTCATAAAACTAGCGGTATGAGAGTTGATATGGATAGATTGGAAACTGAAAGTGGTGCCCCCTGCGCTGATCGGGTTGTGGATAATGAGTTAGATGTTGACTTGAAGGATGAAGTAGGTACTGCAGAATCAAATGATGATGCTGTAAATGAAGGCATAAGTGACTACAGCTCTAGACTGGAGCGTTGCTCACAAAAACGAGGTGAAACCAATGCTGAAGATATCAAGCCTTCGGTAGAATGCCATCAGTCTGATGATTCATCTTCAGGAATTTCTTCAGACCAGAAAAACAGTATATTAGACATTTCACCAAAGAATGAAGCAGTTACATCTGATCCAGATAAAGATATTACTCAAACAGAGAAGCCTGCTGAACTCCAGAAGACAGCTACGACCAATGGTCAAAATGTAAAAAATGAAGTAAAAAACGAAGGTGCTAGCTCAAAGAAGAAACAAGAGGTTGCTGCGAAACAACACAAGAGCAAAGGCTATGCTGGCACAGCATCCAAGAACGAAACTTCTGATAATTGTCTTGATCTCCCGGAATCTATTGTGGACTCAAAGGGTGGAAAGAAAGGAAAATCCTCTGCTGGTAGAGGTTTGAAGGAACATGGCCCTAGAGCTCTTAAACCAAATTCTGAGTCTGGTCATGGGAAAAAGACTAAAGACCTGCCAAAGGATAAAAAACATGTTAAGGATAAAGATAATGTGGTAGACACCACCCGTAGTACTAAGGTGCAGGGCAGAAGTAAAGCTAGTGCTGGGAAGATGCCACAAATTGGACAAGGAAAATCTGATTTGGGATCAAGTGAAAGTTTGCGTCCTGCCAAAAAGTTGAAGCGTGGAGACATGGGGGATGCCAGGGGATCACTCAGCAACAGCATAAAGATTTCCTCTTCTCCTAAACCTGTTGTGGCTGATGAAAAAGGGGTTAAAAAATCTGAGTTGAAGAAGTCTACGCCCACTCTGAAACCAGAAAACATTTTAAAATCTAGTTACCATTCAGATTCTGTTAATTCTGCAGCTGGTGATGAAACTGTGTTGCCTCTAACAAAGCGACATCGTCGAGCTCTCGAAGCTATGTCTGATTCTACAACCGCAGTGCATGATAGTCCGTTTTCACAGAAGTACGATGCTTCATGTTCTAGTAGTGATAAACTCTTGGCAAACCATTCCCACAGAAAAAGGAGAGCAGTTTGCATTTTTGATGATGATGATGAAGATCCCAAGACTCCTGTCCATGGGTCTTCACGGAATATTGATGCAACTTCAAATGGTCCGGATACTAGTAAGAGTAATGATGTGCATAATCAAAGTCCTCTTAATTCTCCCATGACTGTTAATGGATCAAGTGGATCAGAGCATGGCCATATTAAGAAATCAACTAGCCCATTGCAGAGTTTGTCCTCGCCTAAAAAATCTCAAACTGAAGAATTGAAGCAGGAAAAGTCAGAGGCTGTTAATGCCTCTGAAAGTCCTTCAAAATTAGGATCTGAGCAGCTACCACCTAAGGAGGCAAAACCAAATTTAATTTCACCGAAAAAGTCTCCTTCGTTATCTATTGGCACTACAGCTTTGGAACAACCGAAAACTGTGAAACCTCTAATCAAAGCCTCCAATATCAGCATCCAAAAACAATCACAGGGGGGTTCTGCCAAGTCCGTTGTTTTGACCGCAAATTCCAGCTCTTCCCAGAAGCCATCGATCCTCCAAAAAAGTAGGTCACATTCATCTGGAGAGAAGTCTAAAACTACTCCGAAGTCGCGAGCCAGTGACTCTAATACGATCATGGTAGGAAGTTCAATGGATCATGATGATCTTCATGGTGAAAGGTATCATTTTTTGTTGTCAAACTATCTAATTTCTCTTTTTTTTAAAAAAAATAGAGTGGAAGTTTCAACTTTTAGTGATGTTTAAATTAGCTTAATTATTTTTTAATTTATTTTAAAAAATGAAAATAAACAGAAGCTTAGTGAGTGAATTCAAGACCATGGAGTCTGCCATGTCCATGAAGAATCTAATTGCAGCTGCTCAAGCTAAAAGAAGGGAAGCTCATTCACAGAATGTCCTTGGGATTTTTAGTTCTGGTATTTTATCCTCTGATGTCCGTGGTAGTCCTAGTCCTTCTCCAGTCCAGCCGCATTTATCTAGTACCACCCATTTGATGCTGGCAGACTTGAAGGGACCTTTTAATCAAAAGGACGTGGCTTCTCCATCAACTCAAGGACATCAGTTGGCATCACAAAATCACACTGATGTCGAAGAAATAGAGGAGAAAAGAGTCAGCTCAGTACACCGATCTGTTGGAGATTCATTGAGTGGTGGAACTGAGGCAGCTGTTGCACGTGATGCTTTTGAAGGAATGATAGAGACTTTATCTAGAACTAAAGAAAGCATAGGGCGTGCAACTCGTTTGGCTATTGATTGTGCCAGATATGGCATTGCAAATGAGGTGGGTTCTGATCCTGTTTCTCTCTTTCTTCTTCTTCTTCTTTTTCCTTTTAACCAATTTGGATTATCCTGAATAAAAAATGCTGTCATGTTGGCTGTTAAAATCTTTCACCTGTTTCTTTTTATGAAACCTTTCTTGTGTTTAAGACATTTTCCTTTGATTTTTCAATCAAAAAAGCCTGTGAAATCTTCGATTCTTCTCATCTTTCTCTACATCTATCCTATGTTGGCATGCTAAAATATACTGGACCTATATTGAAAGTTACTTGTTTCCACCACCCCTGGTCCTGGAAAGAGGAGTGATTTCAGGTCTCTTGAATTATAGTGGTCCTATGATCCTATCTTCTGTTTTTTCTTGGAGGGTTTCATGATTCTGAGTCTGTTGGATGATGCAATTATATTTGCAGTTTCCCTGTATTAATCTGGTTTTGGGCTTTTGGCTATGGATGGTCAAAATTTATGTTTCTTTCTATTATAGTCATGGGATATCATTTGATCCACCAGCTGCGTGCTTAAATTTCTATTGCGTCATGTCCATATTCCATCAGAATGGCCGGTTTATGAACTAGAAATGAAATCTGGTTGTCGCATATGGATTTGGCGTTTGAAATGATTTTGTCTATATAGGTAGATTATTTGCACAAAACGATCATTTTGTTGCTCAAATGAATTCCTATTGGAAGAATCTACAGTTGAGCTGTAGTGTCTAACTGCTTATCTATCTGCAGGTCGTGGAACTTCTCATTCGAAAATTGGAGATTGAACCTAGTTTTCACCGCAAAGTGGATCTCTTTTTTCTTGTGGATTCTATAACACAATGCTCACATACTCAGAGAGGTATATGCATTGGACTTAAGATAGGTTTATTAGGAGTAAAGGGTCCTTCATTGGCAATACTAAATATGTCACCTCTATGTTTACGTGTGTTTATATGAGGCTCTGCATTTCCACTTCCCACTGTGGCATCTTTCTTCTTCTTCTTTTTTAAATTTTTAATAAGAGAGAATTTCATTAATGGATGAAGTATTCAAGAGCAGCTCCCACTGGTCTACTGAAAAATTCTTTCTTCTTATGTTGATATTAGGTATTGCAGGGGCTTCTTACATTCCTACTGTTCAAGCAGCATTGCCACGTCTTCTTGGAGCTGCTGCACCACCAGGTGCTGGAGCCCGTGAAAATCGTCGGCAGTGTCACAAGGTACTTGTTTTTACATCCGTCTTTAGAAGCTTAGGGTTCGTGCCGCAATAATTTTGAATATATTTCTTGAGAAACTCTCTCCAGGTTCTGCGTCTGTGGCTTGAGAGGAAAATCTTACCTGAATCTGTTCTTCGACGTTACATGGATGAAATAGGAGTGTCAAATGATGATTCATCTATTGGTTTCTCCCTCAGACGTCCATCTCGTGCTGAGCGAGCTGTAGATGATCCAATCAGAGAAATGGAAGGCATGCTTGTTGATGAGTATGGAAGGTCTGAATTTCATTTCACTCTTAGCTTTCTACCTTATATTATTTTTTTAATCTGTAACACTATATTCTCATGCATATTATTTCATTCTTACCTTTTCATCCTTTATGAAAGCAAAGAACTGCGTTCCTGAACGTTCAGTGTTGTGTTGTATTAGGTATGGAATTTTGTATTGGTTAACCTAGATACAGAAGTTAATAGCAATGTTTTAAAAATCGGTCAAGGCGTAAGCCTTGAGGCGAGGCGGCTATATCATGCCTCAAGGCTTACGCCTGTAACAAATAAAAAGAAGCTTACGCCTTAGATGACAAAGGCGTAAGCCTCTGTTCTTAAGCCTTTGAGACTTAAAAGGCGTTAGCCTCAAATGAAAATGGTCTTTGGCGGTGGTGGGTGAAATTAATAAGGTGGTGTAATTACCAAGGTGGTTTAGTGCTCTGACAGAAAAGTAATTGCCTTAGACATTTGTTTGATATATTATTTTAAACTTAAAATCTTATTATTCTATAATTAATTAGCAACCTAGACCAAACTAAAAGACAAACTAGGTTTGTCTTGATTTGTTACAATGAATAAAAATGTAAATCAGCAATGTTAAAATTTTATTTTCCTTCTCTTTCCCTCCTATCTACTCTGTTTTGCTTTGTTTTTTCTTTTTTCCTTTTTGTTTTGGTTATTACATACTGTATTAAGGGTAGCAAGTTTTATTCTTCTCTTTTCTTAGTTTTGTTTTTCCCTTTTTTCCTCTCTTTTTCACCTCAACTTGTTTTCCAAATTTTTTCTTGATTTATTTTTTGTTTTTTAGTGATAATGATTCTGAAAGGTTAGATGTATTGATGTACATTAATGGACTATTGAGATATTTCTTTTTGTTAGAATTTTTAAGTATGCTTTTTACTTTTATAATACAAAGTTTAAAATTTTTATGATTCCTTATTTAAAATGAGGCCTACGCCTCATACTGCCTCGAGGCTTACGCCTCGCCTCTCGTTGAGAAAAAGCCTTGAAGCCGCCTTAAGATTTTTAAAACATTGGTTAATAGTACATCATCTGATTGTTATATTGGCTTGTATCTCTTTTATTATCTTGTATGCAAGTTGAGGAGTTTTACTGGGTAGGGTTTCACTTTGCCTGCATTTTCTTGGGATTTTTTAGGCTTTTCTTGCTTTTTTATTTTCTTATTTTTTATAAGAAACTATTTCATTGAGAATATAACATATGAAAAAGTAGGAAGAGGAAAGGCTCCACCCGAGGTAAGGAAGTTTTAAAAAAACCTTCCAGTTAGCACAAGGAGAACATGAACCAAGTTACAAAAAGATTTGGATAATCTACACCAAAATAATGCTCCACAAACGGTATATTGGTTTAGAGGTCTCAAGTTCGAACCTTCCGGTGAGCTTAATACCAAAAATCTTTGATGTCTCCTAGATCCGGGCCTTGGGGCGGCAGGTACTCCTGGGTATGGGGGAGTAAAGCCAATTTTTTAAAAGGCTAAAGGCAGTCTCGAGGCTTTTTCTCTTGAAAAGACGAGGCGTAAGCCTCAAGGTGGTATGAGGCGTAAGCCTCAATTTTAATTAAAAGAATTAAACAAATCCTAAATTTGTATGGTCAAGTATTACCAAACATAATAGTTATATAAAATTATCAAAATATCCACCTGTTACTTGTCACTCAAAAAAAATTCTAAAAAAATATCATAACATCACTACTATTATCACCAATAGAACTTACTTATTCTATAAATTGTTGTCTTCAATATTTTTAAAGTCTAGGTAGTAAAAGTAGTAATAGATTGAATTGTTACAACTCTTGCTTAGGATTCCATAAAAAAAAAAAACCTTGATATTTTTTAAGATTTGGAAAAATTAATAGTATTCTTGTAATCATTACACGAGGCGTATACTTTAAGCCTCAGTGCGTTTTCAAAGAGGCATAAGCCTCTTATAGTCCAAAGAAGGCGTAAGACTTGAGGCTAAAAGTTAGAGCCTTGCCTCGAGGCAGGCCTCAAGGCGTAAGCCTCAAAAGCCTTTTAAAACATTGAATAAAGCTCCAACCCCCGGTTATTAAAAAAAACAGGATGCTCCAGTACGACTGGTCACGACTCTATTCTCCCGAGAAAAACTATGTTGTTTTTCTCCTGCATAAAAAATCCAAAGAGAAGCTTTAATGGACTGATGAAACACGTAGGTATAGTTAGATTGATCGGACGATCGGGCATCAGTTCGGTCGGAAGTCCATAGGAGTTTCCAAAATACCCTTGAGGTAGCAAAAAGGTTTAGTTTTTCTTAGAAAAAAAGACTTAACTATGAAACTTGATAGAAACACATTTTCTATTCTTTATAATTAGAGGGAATCACAAGGAGCCAAGGGAATTAGAGAGCTCCCTATTCACTCCCAAGTTGTCCTAGACAAAAATAGCCAGAAAGATACCCCTCTACCTCACTACCCTAGGTGTATATTTTCTAAACAAAATACCCACACTGCCCTTTCCTACTGTATAGTTGTCCCTCCCTTCTAATCTCTTCCCTTTTCTCTGTCAGACTAGTATGTTCCCTCTTCCTAGAGTAAACATTCTTCAGCCTAGACATATCAGAACTCTAAGTAGAAGTGATAGTATAGGAAATTGCCTACTCTCTTTGGTTCCTTAAAATATTTTCTTTCAAGTCAAACATTCTCAACTTGTTGATGACAACTTTGACATGTTGACAAAATGTCTCGATATGTTTTAAAACTGACCCTATCCATTATCAGTGGTGATATTACCTGGTATTCAATTTGTTGGGAACATTGTTGTCGACAGTCCTAAGTTTTTAATCCTTGTGTGTGTATCAAGATGTTTTCAAAAGAAAGATGGTTCAAGTTTGTATATGTTTTTTCTACTTTTGTTGGTTCATATGATAGAAGATTTTCTTGAATTTCTCTCTTGTAATTTTATTTTCATTATTTTATACTATATTTTCAATGGGATTGAGTTTCAATATGCTATCATGCAAGAGTATATCTTGAGGGGATTATGTTGAGTTGGGAATCAGATGGACTTCTGGAAAGTCTTTGGTAATCTTTCTTGACCTTTTGATGTAGGGTGCATATAAATTCTCTCTTCTTGATGTACAACTCTTCTTTTTTAATGTTTTGTTTCTTGTAAAAACGAGTATATAATTAAATGAAATTATTCTCCCGTGCTGTTCCTTTTGTATCTCTTTTTGTCTATCGTTCGTCATGTTGCTTCTCTTTTTGCAGTTTTTGTTTTGTAACTTTCTTTTTGGAATTGTATCAGCAATGCAACATTCCAACTGCCTGGGTTTTTATCTTCACATGTTTTTGAGGATGAAGACGAGGACCTTCCTACCACCCCATGTAAAGAAGCCAATGATGCAACATTGACAGAATCAAGACATGCTGGAGAGGCAGAAGCATGTGCAGTTACCCCAAGTGACCGGCGCCATCGCATCTTAGAGGATGTGGACGGGGAACTTGAAATGGAAGATGTTTCTGGGCATCCGAAGGATGATAAGTCGTTGATAGGAGATGGTTGTTTTGAAATAGATGCTGAACATCGGTCTTCAGATAGGGTAACAGAACCTGCTTCAAACACTTCTTCGGAGTTTCCCCCTCTGCCAGAAGGTTCTCCACCTTTGCCTCTTGATTCTCCTCCTCCACCCCCACCCTTACCTTCTTCACCACCCCCACCTCCACCTCCATCCTCACCATCACCACCCCCACTACCACCTCCACCACTTCCATCATTGCCACCTCCTCCTCCTCTACCATCTGCATGCCCTCCACCACCACCACCTCCTCCATTAATTCCCCAACTGCCAGTACCTAGTCAGGCTCCGTTGCCAAACCAGCAGATATTATCGCTTCAATCATCACAGCAGTCTTCAGCACAGCTTGCGTATCAAGCTCCAATACCCCGTGAATACTGCAGCATATCAACTGTAAGGATGCACAGACCTTTTTTAAAAAAATTATGGCTATATAGTAGTACTCAATTTGCGTGTCCTTTCTACAGGGAAATCAGCATGTGCAAATGACTGGAAATACTTCTCATGGGAGTCACTTGGATGCTTCTGCTAAAAGTGAAATATATGGACAGCAGCCACCTTCCTTTGTCCCAACTGCTGTCTGCAATTCCATAGAACCTTCTGGATATAATTCTTCGAGGCAATTGGAGTATGGACATAATGATATATATCTGAATACGCAAGTTTCTCAGCCAAACCAGCAATTTCAGCAAGGTAACCCCAACTTCATTCAAAGACAGATGCATACTGGCCCACCTCAAAACCCACCTAGTCATTTCTCTTATGCCAAGCCTTCAGTTCAGCAGCATCCTCCTCATCCGTACCACCATCCATATTCTTCGCCATCCCTTATGGATGGACGGAGGCCATTTTTAGGTGATGAACAATGGAGAATGCCTTCAAATGAATTCAAAACAGAAAATCGTCAAGGTGTATGGATGAACGGTGGGAGAAATTCATCACATCCAGGCCCACCATTCAGCCAGGAAGGTATTAAAATGTAAATATTTAATTGTCTACCTCATTGTCATAAGCTTCTTGTGGCTTTATGTCTTTTGGATTTGCATTGATGTTGGGAAAAATTAGGAAAAAAAGTTTGTTTGATTGGCAATTGACAACTGTTTTTAACTATGTTACAATCTATAGTTAATGTGTTATATAAGGGATCCAAATATGCAAGAATTAACCGTTGGCGACAAAACAAAGAGTAATGACAAAAAGGAAAAAGAAGGAAAAAAAAATAGAAGAGAGAAGCATAAAGCCATTGGAAGGCACTATAAATGTGCCAATCCCTTACCTTTTCCCACGACATATCAAGCTCATGAAAGTTCTCCCTTCCACTTTTGACTTTTCCAATCAAATATATCAAAGAATGGTTAAAAAATCAGCTTGCCATACCTGATGTATCTCAAAACAACATATCCAAAATAAACGTTCCTTCATAATGCTAAGAAGATTGACCTTGAACAATAGAAATACCATAATTCTGCACAATCCCACATTTTGGAAGCAAAAAGGCAAAAGCCACAACAGATGATTAAAATCTTCAACATCATACTTGCATGGTATGATTCCCTCTATCCATTGATGACAAAAACGAGTCTTTTTTCCATCCCAAATTTCAATATCTGAAACCTTACGTACAAGATCCCAAAGTTTCAAGATATACCACCAAGGGCTCCAACTACTTCCCTTTGTTTTATTTTTGTAAACCATCCAAAACCACCCACCCCAAAAATACTAGGCACCGCCTTATCTATACTCAGGCTCCACATCCAAAAGACTTGGAAACTGTTTCCCAGCCCATGAAGCTTCTCAGCTTTCCTTCCCTATTTCCTTTCCCAAAACATTTTCCATTTTTATTTCAAAATTTTCTAGACTTTTTTTCCCTAACAAGAAACAAACTTTTTATTGATTCCATGAGAAGGGACATAGGTCTTCAGAGGATACAAGCTCTAGGAGGTGTTATCACTAAGACTTTTCTTGGCATCTAAAATAATGTCATATCATCTGCAAGAAGACCAGAAAGTATTGAATTATGTAGAGTCTGCCTTCCACCTCTTGATAAGTTGTGGTTCTTCTATCTAGACAGCTTCTTTCCACCTTCTCAATACCAGAAAGGCATATTACAAGGATTCCTGGCCAAAAATGCATGAGTTGTGGTGTGGCCATTTGGTCCATTACTACTTTCACCACTAAGACCTAAAGACATGAAATGCAAAGTTAAACAATAAACATTGAAGACAAAATTAAGAATGCAGTGAACTAGCCGCTTTTTTAAACCTCCTATACATTAGAAATTCCTAATTTTTTGGTCAGTAACTTTAACATGACTGGAATAATGAAAAGAGAAAGTAGGTGGAGAGCCACAAATTCGAATTGGCCTCTTTGGTTCCTAATGCTTGTTTGAGACTCTAATTTTTTATTCTGGTCGCAAAAGGTGATTGATTACCCATTAATTTTTGCTTTACTGAAATGATATCGCTCATTCATTTAGAGTATCTTAATGTATACAAAATGTAAGATTTTATTTGATATTTATTTTTCTCTACCTACGAGTACTCAGCAGCTAAGTAATTTATCTACGTAGGCTATTTTCAACCACCTTATGAACGACCGCCAAGTAATATTGGCTTTCAGCGTCCTGCTTCCAACAGTCTACCAGCTGGAGCTCCAATTTCTGGTGACTTTTCCACTGTACCATATATATTTTTTTGCTTTTGTTTTTTTATTTTTATGAAGAACTCCTGAATATTAGAGCATTTGTTTTCCTTTTATAGAATAACTCTTTTATCACATTTTTTCAGGTAATGGCATTCCCCAAATATTACCATCTAGACAAGACATTTCAACTCTTAATTGTTGGCGGCCTGCATAAGAAATTTTATTTCTTTACCATGTAAGTTATTTTCATGCATCATTGATCATTGTTATGACCACTTCGGTAGTAGTTTTTACTTTCTTGTTGAATACTATTATAATGTTCTTCCAGTGCTGAATGTGAAATTGGAAGACAAATTGATTACTGTAAAGAAAGATCAGCTTTGTGCATAAATTCTGTACAACTTGAAGGCGCTGTCGAGACTTTTGGAGGCTCTTGGCTGGACTGTGTATATAGTAGTCATCCTGACAAACTTAATCCAGAAACATTTGCTCCCCAAGTGTAGGCCCATGTTTCTGACCCGGTTAGTGATATCGAGTCTTAATTCTTATTAATTTTGCATTAATTATGTGAAATTGCATTTTTGTTCTATTATTAAGAAGCTTCATGTAGCATTTTATTTGGCTAGTTGAAATAAGCAAACCTAAGAAGCGCGGATATGGATGCGAGACACGGATATGTCACAATATGGATACAACGACACGTCATTTTCTAAAAATGTAGGACACGGACACGTTTATTAAAATATGCAATTTTTTGGAGTTTATATCATTTTATAAGAGAAAAATATTCAAAGTCAATAAGTTCATACATTTTTATGCTTAAAAAAATGAATTTAATGTATTTTGCTCTCAAAATTTATTATTTTGTCCTACATTACTATTTATGTGTATTTCTTATGCTTACCAAGTATTCTTTATGTGTGCCTAACAAGTTTCAAATCCATATTCACTTTTTATAACTAGTGTGTGACACACATTTATTGAACTAACAAGCGTTTGGTATGTGTCCAATAAGTGTCGGAGTGTTCGACACTCGGACACGTTACTCAACAGTTACTTGTTGGGCCTGAAACTACTCTATTTGCTACCAGATGATAAAAAGTTTCTTGTTTGTTGGCCATTTTTGTGGTAAGAAGATAAAGATTTGTTATATAAAGGGACTTATTGCTGCATTTTGTTGAAAGCACAGGTTCTCGAGATTTTCACATGTACATGTTATTTTGACATGTATGCGTCATTATATTATGCTTAATTTTGGGCATGTATTATTATTATTTATTTTTTTAAGGAACAATTTCATGTATGAAATTACGAAAAAGAGATGGAACCAAAGAGATGGAAAGCTATAGTTATGAAAAGTGGAGATAATTTGCAGATAGTATTATTGAAAAACATATGAAAAAAGATTGTTCCTTATCCAGAAAGATCCTTTGATTTCTTTCATTCTAGGTAACCTGAAAGATAGCTCCGATGAAGTGTATCTAGAGAATCTTTTTCTCCCTCTTGAAAGGATGCCCCACTAAAGTAAGACATAGAAGACTCCTTGAATCGTTAGGTAAAACTGTTGACGACTGATAGAGAATATCCCCATAATTTGTTTGCATAGGTATAGGAGAGAATATTTATTGTGTGATTCTTTACTTAGAATAATGTAAAATAGCCTTACCTTAGAATGAGTATACCATCTAGAGACCCAAAAATTGATTCTATCAAGTCCTTTTGTGGTATTGGAAAGGCATCCTGAATTATGCCCTGGGTCCTCCATCCAAACTGCCTAAGAAAATATGTTTTCGACCAAAGAGGAGCTAGAGAAAAGGATGGAAGTATCAGTGCCCCCAAACACTCTTATCCACAGGACAAGCTCCTAATAGAGTACACGATCGGCTCATTATTTCGAAACCCCAAGTCCCAATTCCATAAAAAGAAGTTACAATTCCAGGGTATTTTGATAATTCTCATCTTGTGATTAAAGAGCGCTTAAATCTTGGGAATACTGTCTATGACAGGCTTATCATCAATTCGCTTGTCTTTCCATATCTTGCAATATCTATGCCAAATATTACCTCATTGAATAAGGAATCTCTGAAACCATTTAGCAAATAAATGCCTTCCTAATTTTTTGTGGACCGCTGTTGACCCTTAAGAAAGCCTAAAGCCTCGATGGATTACTCCAATATGCATACAGTTCTCTTGGTGAATTTACAGAGGGACAAGCAGTTGAGTTGCATGCTTGAATGAGCAAGAGGAAGCACACAAGAGCATTTAAAGTTATGTTAGTGGAAGAATTTGCTATAGCCTATAGGTACGTAGAACATCCATTGATCAACTGCAATCTGTACATACAAACCACACCCCCCTCCGGCCAAAGGCAAAGATCTGCGACTTCAAATTTATTAGGATTTCTAAGCCTCAAATATGAAGGTTATTAGTCATATTTATTAGGATTTCTAAGCCTCAAATATGAAGGTTATTAGTCATGAAACTGAAGTATTGGGTATTTAACTATATATCTGAGTGGAAATAAAAAAGTATCTAAATGCAAAATAAGAACCTTCTCCAAGCCTTGCTGGGTTAATAGAAAGCAAAAAGAATAGACCTCCCCATAAAAACCACCTGCTATTATAGCCAATAAGTTAATAAAAAAACAATTACATGCCGGACATTCAAACATGTAGAGCTGAAAAGCAGATAAAAAGTCAATAGGAGCTTCTCTTAAAGTGGAAGAATGGCTTGAAAACCAAATGTCGTAAGGTCAGGCGGTTGACTCGTGATTAGTTGAGGTGCGTGCAAATTGGTCCGGACACACAAATATCAAAAAAGAAAAAAAAAGGCTTGGAGTAGGAAGAAACAACCCAAAGTCACCCCATTCTTCTAAACAATCCAAATCAGAATCAATACTACTGAGGCTGACATCCTGATACTCACCAAAATCTGTAAGCTCATCTTCTAAAGCCTCTTAGTACATCCCACCTCAATTGGATCACCATTGATAACAGAAGGTGAAGAGACAAAATTTTTCAAAGGTAAAGGAGTCAACCACTTTTGTACGGAATATTACTAGTAAATCGGCAACCATTCATCTTTACTGCACACACTCATGAGAATGAACAAATGTTGGATTTTGCGTACTGAACGCTCAAGGTATGAAATGACAACACTGCAAGGAGTTCATTTAAATATCAATCAAGACTGAAAGCTTGGGTTCACCTTGCATTCCTTCGTCTCTTGCCAGATTGCTTTTAATAGCTTTTTCTAGGATGATCATTTGCGAAGGCTATATCTAGTGCTATATGGTAGTAGGGCTGCCAAATAAATGGCCAAACCAGTTAACCAAACCAAACCGACCAGTACTCCATTTGACCATCTCCCTCTCAGACCTTGCCTCCCTCTCTGCCCCTTGTCCTCCATTTGCCTCTCTGATCTTCACCCACTCTCTGATCTTATTTACTCTCAGCATTCTCTTTCTCCATGATCTTGCTGCAAGGTTTGACCATATGAGCTTCAATTTCTCTGTTACTGGGAACGATCTGATGATATCATGCCAAGAAAGTAGTAGTTCTTAGTTCAATGATTAAGAACGAGACATGAGTGGCCTTTTTTATTTTCTTCTTGCCCCATCAGAGAAATCTTAGGCTATGAATAAGAGCTTCTTCACTGTTTGTAGGAAAATTGTATGTACAAGTATTCATTTGGAAGATGCCAAGAAATAAAATTACCTTCTATGAGTATATTGGTTTAGCTTGCATTAGATGATTATCTATTTGCTAATAAAATGATGATGTTGTCACCATATATTGTAACAGGTTTTGATAGAATTTTAAGATAGAGAGAGATGAGCAATTTTTGAGATTCTCAATTTGTTTACTTACCCGGGAAAAGAAAAGAGAGTCGCATTTATCCATGGAGATAGCTCGCAGCTGGAAAGTTGAGATAAAAGAAACTATATTTAACATGGATTTTTGTGCCAAGACGTGGCTGATCCTTCCTTATTATGCAGACTCCCGTTGTAAAGGTAGTCCCCAGATACTCACAAAGAAAAATTTTCAGATTTTATGTAATACAATATTTTCTATTACCATTGTACATGATATCATCATCATCCCTTTTCTCACCATACATCCTAAAGTATTTTTCTAAAATAATTTCCTTGTGCTTTAAAAATCATGTGGTCTGAAAGTAGTTCAATTATGAGCTTTATTTTACCCATTTTGATTCTTACCCTGATGGTTAAAAGATAAAAACTGTCTCTGTATATTTGTTTCTCCCTTTGTCTTAATTTTGGCATCTGATTAGATTTATTATAGTTGATGTGGCATCTGCTTGAAACTTTGGTTCTATGCATTACTTGGCGCAGTATAAGAAACTTTCTAAAACCAGCGGTATTGGACTCTCTACTTGGTAATCTGCACATTTCAATTAATTACCTTTTTCCACATGCAACAGAGGTACCTTTAACCTTATTTGCTTTCTGCTTCGATGAATGTTGCTGTTCTAATTCAAGAATAATTTTTATGTTAAAAAGTGAGAATTTTTGTTCAAAATCATGTGCTGTGTTTAGTGCTTTAGATTGAAGAATAAGACGAGTTTCTGAGTCCATATTTTTCCAAACTTTATTCGATTTAGTGACATTTATTCAATTTAAGGACCCATCTGAAATGTTGATATAAATAGAGCTTATAGGTAGCTAAATCTGAGAATAGCTTTACAGTTACATTTCTGAGAAGTTGAAGATCCGGGTTCGAGTTGGTGATTGAAAAGTAGAACAGTAACTGAGATCAATGGTGAAAGGAAAATGACATTGAAACTGAACAGCACGCTTTAAAAAAAATCTTCTTGTTCTTAGTTTGAGATACAAATCTAATATACAATTCCTATGAAACAGTAAAATGCATACAATTTCCTTTCACAATATTCAATTCTTCTAGTGGAGCTCGTGCCACACCCACGTGCTCATTCCATCATATTCACTGTTCTCAACACAATAATCTCTGATCTTGAAGAAACCAATAATTCAAAAAAGCGAAAAGGATGTGTTATTTTGACTTCTTTAATTTTCATCTATAGTTGTATTCTTTCTTAACACTATAAAAGACAGCATTAAAACCTGATAAATTATGGAGCAAAAGTAGGGTAGAAAATTTTATCTTTTTTATCAGATGAACTAATCAAGTGCAGCTTTGTTTCTTCGACCCGTCAAAGGTATTGGCAAGCCATCAAATATTGGTCTGGAAGCAGACGAAATGGCCTGTAAATCTGGTTTCAAACTCCACTTTGAAGTTGACCAGATCGATGAAGTAGTACCATTTTCTGGGTCTGGCAAACTCGACGTGCTCGAGGACTTCCTTACTACCGCCGAGAACCCGTCAGCTGCCACGAATGAATCCCCCAACCCAATCGGAATTGGAATCAACCCAACCTCATTGTCGATGGCCAAATTAGTTCTGCTAGAAGCTTTGGGTCTTTGAGCCAAGAAGCCCTTTCCGGCAGAGGACGAGAAACCGTTACTTCCACTGCTATTGTCGTCTTTCAAGACCATTTCAGGGGAATGGGAAAAGTCAGCTACAGATTTCTGGCGCCTTCTGATCAATTTCTCATTCCATTTGGGATCCACATCCCCGGCTTCTGCAGATTGCACATCTGCCATTGCTCCTTTCTCACCCACAAATCCATTGACTAAACTTTTGGACTTTCGATGGTGATGCATTAGTAGCAAATCTGAAAGCTGTTGTGTCCCCGAAATGGGCACATCTTCTAAATAATGGGACGTGCCTTTCCAGACTGCCATTTCAAAACCATCGTTTCTGCTCTTCTGATCAGATGATTTGAGCCCATAGTAACCTTGTAAAGAGCTCATGGCTGGGGAGACCCTCTGTTCTGAAGGTTTCAACTTGAGGGACTGAAATGATTCAAAGAAATCCGATGAAAGACGTTGACTTGGGGTCCTTTCGGAGCTGCTCTGTCTGCAAAACGATCCTCTTATCAACACAAGATGATGGACCAGCACAATATTGGAAAACTGAAGTCTATCTTGCAATGAAATGTAATGATACGGACAAAATGTAGTTTGCATAATTGAGCACAATGATGGAGAGGCTTTTTTTTTCAACAATAACATTTGTTCGGATCAAGACAGAAAGGCCAGCCATTTTCTAGTAGTATCATATTAATGATGGATGCCTTGAATGAGGCTCCAAGTAATCAATTCATGATAATTAAAAATAATTGAATTTGGCTGTAAATTCAACATGAAGTTGGTTAATTTTAAATTTGGCATCATCAAGCACCTGAAAATGACATTGCCATCACTATAGCATCCACTCTCCAACCATCACCAACAATTCCTACAGCAAAAGAACTATCAGTATAACCACTAAAGCCCCTCCATCAGAAAAAGAACCACTAAAGCCCCAAAGCGTCCAAGTAAAAGCATGGCCCTGGCTCCACTTATTTACTTTCTTAATGGCTTTCACTTAGGCACCAAGCACAGTTATCAAAGATACCAAAACTACTTGACCCCCGAGATCTATATGACCCATAACTGACAATTTTGCAAGTCGCTACCAAGCTCAGACGAGACAACCATATTCATCTTAGGTAAAAATATGTCAAAAATACCAAATATCCACCAACTCACATTATTCATGTGCAGGTAATATATGGGAACAAAATAAGGTAAATGTCAAAATTGTATACATACCCTGGAGTAATTGAACCGTCCAATAAACAAGGAGATGGAGGGTGTCTTCCAGGAAGTGGAATCTGGAGAGATTTAAGAGCAAACATTTGAAAGTCTGTGACCAGTCCATTCATCTTCTTTATATCTGCAACCTGGCGAACCACCAAAAACCACGCTTACAATTTCTTCAAACAGATCCACTCATTATAGCAAGATGTTACACATGATGATAGAAAGAATATCAATGGGAGATGAAAGAAAACGTCTATGACTTTGGAGTCAAAATTTGTCATATGCTGAAATATTGATCACGAGAAGCTGAAAGTTGATATTCATCAGAATGGCCAAAGATCCAAATATCTAACTTTGAAATTCAGCGGTGAAGGCAAGAATAGGAGGGCCGGCAAACCGATTTTGTTTACTTTTTAAGTTTAAACATCATAATCTTGCTCTCAAATTATATAATGTATCTTTAAAATTATTGTTGATTTTCGGCCAGTTTCTCAAATTTTGATCCTTTTTATTTTCATATATGTTTGCACCCCCCAAAAAAAAACTCTGGATCTACCCCTGTTTCTAATCGTGCCATAGAAAAGCAGAAAAAGAAAAGAACTCGAGACTTCAAAAATGGATGAACGCCAAAAATTTCTATCCCACTTGGATGATATAAGGTCAGATTAAGTGGGAGAACAGAACAGAAGATCTGATGAACATCTGAACATACCCCATACCAGTCTTCTAATGATTATCTCGGCGGGAAAAAAGTTCTTGCTCATTCCATTTTCTACGTAAATCCGCCATAAGCCTCCTTTGGTAAAGCAGAAAATTCTAGGTAATGAATGAGTTATCATCGATACGGATTTTAAATCATGTCATGCCCAAAAGGAAAGATATAAATCTAGCGTTCTCGGTGCAAATGATAGATTCATTAAAGAAGCAACATCTGACAAGCCAATATCAGAAGACAGAGCAAAAACATTTAATAACCATCATTTCCATTGTTTCCCCGCCATAACGATGATCGAAAGAAAGTTGGGAATAATACAAACTAATGCCAATTCAGAAATTCTCTTTCTGTTAGAAAATTGTCTGAAATTCTAAAATGCGGTTTACCTCGACACCATATTTGATTGCAACTCCAGCGAGAGTATCTAATTTAGAAACCGGATGCACGATGCAGTTAGGAGAAGATGCAACCTGCGACGTCTTCCCAGGGCTTCTTCCATTTGGCGTGCTCTCTCCATAGACATCCCCTAGATCTAACGCGTGATAACCATTGCTCTCGTAACTAAAATCATAATTCCCATTTCCGTTCATCCGCCCCCTTTCCATCTCCGTCTCTCAAATCCACCATCCAAATCGATTTCCAATCAAGAAAGCGAAACCATCAATGAACCAACCAAGATTGAAAATCAATCCAAAAATACGCCAATTTCACCAAACAATTCCACAAATCAAGACACCCGAGTCGGGGAGGGAAAAAAACCCCCCGTTTCGGAAAACGAACTGCGATAATCGGTATGAACAGAAACACGAAAAGGAACCCTAGATCTCTAAGTGGAAAAAGAAGGGACGAAATTATGAAAGAGATTCTCGCCTTTGGAGATCAAAAATTCACAATCCAGTTTTTAAGGGAAAAATAATGAAAGATTCTCGATCTTTCTTCTTCAACTTCTTCTTCCCCACGAAGAAAATGGAAAAATTAAAATTTCCTCAATTACAGAATTGGACGATCATATTTACCATTAAATATTTAAATTATTTTCCAATTCTCATAATCCAATTATTTTCGTATTATTTAATATCCGCCATGTAAAAATACCACTCCGGCCCGGCCCACTACGGTAAAGGCCCAAGTCTTTTGGGCCATTATTGTCGGTGGGCCCACTTGAAATCTCCGGCAAAATGCTCGAAAACTGAACTGTCGGCTGGGTTTTTGGCCGAACCGTGTGGGGCCCCGTGACAGGTAGGCTCCGGTGGGGTCCACGGGCATTCGAATGAAGACTTTGAAAAAATATTCTTTAAAGAAAGAAAGTCGCTGGGGAATCTGCTTCTTTCAATAGTCATTGGATTATTTTCTAATCACAATAAAATAAAATAATTTTGTTATTTTTATATATTTTTTATTTTCGTTTTGTCCTTTTCTTCAACGAAATTAGTATGAAAATACGGATTTTTTTGTGCATTATTCCTTTTTAAATTTGATGATGTAACAGTACTTTGATTAACTTGCAATTAAATCTCAAATAATACGGTTTGTGTCCTCGATGATATTTTTTTAGAAGAAATAAAAGTATCACTAGAAATTATTAAATTGTTTGATAATCATTTTGTTTTCTTTTTTCTACTTTTAAAAATTATGCTGGTTATTTTAAATGTTATTCAGAGAAATATATTTGCCCTTACCAATTTTCAGAATAAAAAACAAAATTTTGAGAATGTTCATTTAAGCTGTATAACAAACACAAAACACATGTGAAAGTATTGTTTTAAAACTTAATTTTCAATAACAGAAGACAAAACAAAATGATTACCGAAATAATATAAAAAGTACATGTGAGTGATTCAAACTCCATTTTGATCCAAAATAAACGCCTAACCAATTTGCTGAATTAACCATTTTCAAATCAAAGTAGCTTCAGAATTTAATTTTGGACTTGATAAAACCCCAGCACCTTTCCATTGGATCACAAACAAGGAGGATGAAACTTACACGAAAGGCTACAAAAATTAATCTCTTAAATTGCATTAAATATTCCACCTTTATTTTCTTTCACATTATTGTCCTTACGAATTGTTCGATTATAAATTATAAATAAAAAGGACAAATAATAATTAATATGGATAAAAAAATTTCTTGACAAATAATATGGATGAAAACAAATGATGTAGATACAAAAATATTATTTTTCCATGTTTTAGTACCATTTCTCAACAAGAAAAGGTACACATTAAAGGATTTAGATCAAAGCGATTGTTAAGATGAATTATTGATAAGAATACTTTGATATATCTACATGGGATAAATCGACATTTCCATCACAATGCAAAAAAATCGATAAAATATAAAAAATAAATATCACTAATATACATAATATCAATATTAATTAATTTTAACTTATTTAGAAACATAAAAATATTTATTTGTTAATTTAAATCATTATTACGATTTTTTATCGACATTACCTCAATATTTCTATCTTGCTTTTAACTCAACCCTATGCTTTTCTAAAAACTAATATAAGTTCATCCATTGACCTTGATATCAAAAAATAAACTCAATTTGTATATTAAGAAAAAAGGTAAACTCAATAAATAAACTAAACCTAAAGGACCTGTCTAAGCCTAAGCCTAAGGATACAAAAATTCAACCAACAAAGAAATGACAGAGCACAGGATTTAATGTATATTAATTCTCAATAGAATAAGAGTTTTCAGTTAACATATTGATCAAAATAGGAAAAAAAAATAATTAAAAAACCATAAACATATTAAAGGTTTCATCAAAGAAGCTAACACTCGCTGTGCTGCTACTACTACTACTACTAACATGTCTTTCTCCAACTGCCAAAACTTTGTTATCTATTTTTTTTCCCTTCTCTAAAAAGAGACAATCTCATATTATGCCTTTCTAGAGTTGTGGGGTACACGCACAATTAATTTGGATCTCTCCTCCTTCAATCATTCATCAATCGTCGCCAAATGTAGTTTTCTTTCCTGCAATGTTCACAATTTTTTACATAAAACATGAGATTTTGAACCATTTTTCAAACCGGAAAAAGGTAGAAAAAAGGAAAACAGATTTTTTCTAATTACCAGATGCAGTTATGCTGGGTTTGTTGAAACCTCCGCGTCCTCCTCTACCACCGAAACCACCTCCTCTGCCACCACCACCACCACCACGTCTGCCTCCAAAGCGCCCACCGCTTCTCCCATCACCACCACTTCTTCCACCACTCCTTCCACCGCTCCTTCCACCGCCTCTAGCACTACCAGCACTGTCACGGGGCTTGGCCTCATCAACTGTTAGGTACTGGCCGTGTAGTTCACTGCCATTCATGTCAAGGGCTTTACTGAAACTGTTTGCATCGCTGAAGTCCATGTAAGCCATCCTGAGATAACAAAATTCCAAACCAACACATTATAAAAGCTACACCAGCATTAGTGTGTAAAAAAAAGCCCAAACTTATGAGAATGGGGTTGAAATCAACAACAATAGTGCTTAGTAGTTTAGCTTCCAGAGCAGCTTTAAAGGACAGCATTTTTTTTAATCTCAATCATTTGGGTTTATAAATGGTACTTTTTGGAAAAGAAATATCAAATATCATTAATAGCATTCTAAAAATGTTAACAAAAGCATTATTTTTAAAAATATTTTAAGAAAAAAGTGCTACTGAAGAATGCCAAAACCCGAAGACAGATGAAAGAAAAAGGAAAATACCAATTGTACCCATCTCAAAAACTGGACAATTTTTTTGTTGAGGAAAAGGTCCTAAAAATGGAAAATATGGGGGAAAAGAAACAAACCCTTTAATGTTGCCAGTGTCGTAGTCTTTTGGAATGGACACCCTGGTAACCTCTCCACAGGCACCGAAATGCTCTTGTAGGGCACTTCTAATCTGTTAAAAAGAGGAATGATTTGCACATCTGGGTAAGATGCGGCACAGTACTTTAAATGCTATAATAAAAAATACCATCACAATAATATTTCATTACCTCATCCTCGCCTAAAGATCGATCAAAACCACGTACAAAAATTGTATGACTTGCACCCCTTCCTCCCTTCTGGAATGAAGAGTTGTTCCTCTCTTTGCTATTGATGTCAATCAAAAAAATTATTAAAAAAGGGTCAAATATGAATACATGCTATCAATACTTGAAGGGAACATATTCAAAACAAAGTTGAACTTTACCTGTCATATGGGGTGTATGCACCTCTTTCTCGAGCCAAATCAAGTCTTATTTCACGGTTCAACAAAAGTTCACCATTCAATTGAAGAGCCTGAATAGAGAATATAAGTGCACAATTCACTCAGCAATAGCATAACTAAGCCCATGTTACACCTATATTATTTTTATGTTCTGTTTCTACTCGTTAACACCATGTCTCCTTCATTTGGCAATCTATCCTTTTTAATATTTTAAAAAACTTTTTTAGTTCTAAAAATTATGCTAAAAATTCAATTTCTAATAAAGGCAAAAAATATATATATCAAAGAAATAGCAAGAGAAATAGTGAGAGCTAGCATAATTTTTAAACACAAAAAATTAAAAACTAGATTGTGATCAGAAGAGCCTAAGACAATCGACAAATGGCTACACAGACAGTTCTTGTTAGTGATCTAAGGTAAACATACCAAGACAAATTCAACCAACAAAACTAAATATAACAATAGTTGGAATTTCAGCATCAGTTTAGTGTTTCTTCTATCCAAAGAAAATAGGTGTAATTTGACAGGAGTCATGAAAATGCAAGTCCACATAAACCAGTGTTAGAAATAAAAGACCAGATCTTTGAGCTTACTTTTTGAGCAATTTCAGGTGTCTCAAACTCAATATGACCAAATCCCTTGAACCTTCCATCATGATCAGAAGCAAAACGGATGTCCACAGGTTTTCCAACATCTTTAAAGAAATTCTCCCTGCAATATTATTAGAATTCAATTAAGATATACATGGCGCACTAATCTAAAGGCCAAACAAAATGGTATGGCAGAGAACTATTAAAACAAAAGAACCCATGTTCAACGTCATGTGCAAATAAATAATAAATAAATAAGAAATGTTAAGAGGAAAAATCATGTAGAATACAAATAATAACATCAAGGAAATTCAACATACACATCAGCCTGTTCAACTTGGAATGATAAGTTGCCAACAAAAAGTGTCTTTGATTCACCACCCTGACTTTTAGGAGTAACAGGAGTTTTAGGCTGCATAGAAGTCATTAAAATTAGTTTCGAAGCATATGATGCAATACTGGAGAGAGAAATTATAGCACCATGAAGGTAACTTACTGCTTCTTTCTTTCCTTGCTTGTAGTCTGCGTTTGGTGACACAGCTTCTACCATTTCTACATCAGTATCCTATTTGTGCAAAAGTTTTAACATTGATTAACATCATTACTACATTACTTCACAAAAAATATTGAAGATTATGATTACACTTTTAACAATATTAAGAGAACCAGATCATCACTAGAACACTAACCACTTTCAATTACTATTAAATATTATTTACTATTGTAGTTGCTATTTAAAAAACTTCATAACCAACCTTATATATTACATAAACGCCAAAATTACAGCACTAGAACACTAACCACTTTCTTCTTCTTTGTTGGTTTTTTGTCTTCCTCGTCACTATCACTGGAACTGTCATCACTGTCTTCTTCATCCTCACTCTCATCACTATCCACGTCAATCTTTTCATGTGTTTTAGAGAGAGAATGCATTAAGATTTATTCCAACTTAAAAATAAATCCACAACTGAATAGTGAATCAAAGAGATTTAATACACAGACAAAATTCTTAGATTTGTTTCCCATAATCAAATGGGGGTTGATTATACTATAGAAAAATCCTATGCAACTTTTAAGAAACAAAAAGTTGCAAAAAAGAAGAGTAAAATCCATAAAAGAACAGCATAACACTTGAGGAAGCACCTGTTTAGAATCTTTCTTCACAGAAGGAACAGCAGGCTTCTTTTGGGTCTAAAAAGATGAAGGAGATAAATAGATTAGTGTTATATGTAGTAATATCCAGGCTTTGTAAACATAACGATATTAAGATTAATAAAAAGCTCAAAAAAGAAGTAAACCAAAGGACAGAAAGATACCAGCATGAACCCCCCATGTATAAAAAAACCTCAATCAATTACTAAGCAGAGCTAAACGAGGGAAACTCAAGAAGAAATAATCAAGAAATAGTCAACAAACATTTCATATGAACCTCCACCCCCCCCATCACACGATTACCAGATGCATTAACTGTTCATTAATGGAGGTCAAAGAGAGAACTCACCTCCTCTTCATCGTCTTCAGAACTGCTCTCTGAACTCTCCTCCATCTTCTTAGCCGGTTGAGCTTTTACAGAAGCAGCTGCAGGCTTTTTTGCAGGCTAAGATAGAGTACCGTTAGTTTAGAACATAGACGGATGAACATGTTCTCCCACTTTTAGTTTCATACTTTAATAACAGGATAGCACCATATCAAATTAACAAGCCAATTAATAACAACGAACTAACTTTCACTGAACCAGAAGATTACAAAGGTTGATAAAGCAATCAACCAAAATGCCAAGAGGACAAAAAACCTGGTATTAGTTTCTTTCTAAAAGATAGGTATAAAAAAATAGTAAGAGTCCAAAGAGATTAGACAACACAATTTAAAATCACATGGTGATCCTCTATCACAAATATGAAGAATTTACGTTTCCTTGAAATTAATTTCTTTATCATTCTAAAGAACTTTCATATATTTTTAGAAGTTAATTGATCATCTAACAAGCAATTTTGAAGTTCTTTCATACATGCAGGACAACTGAGTAGGAAGTATAATCGTATGGGGATATCAGATTTTTTAAGCACAATTACAATAATAAAAAAGGATTAGGCAGGAACGTGAATGCCATAGAAATAAAATGTAGATATTATACCTTATGCTCATCAGAATCACTATCTTCCTCATCAGAATCACTTTCTTCAGAACTATCACTGGTCTCTTTCTTCTTAGCACCGGCACGTGCCTGAGTAACTTTTGCTGCAGGAACCTATGCAAAGAAAATCAAAGACTCAGAACAGACAACCTCATAGGCAGTTAGCTATTGAATCTTTAGAAATTAAGACACCGAACAACCTATAAGGCTGTCAACAATAATAATATATACTCACATCTTCATCAGAATCTGAACTACTTGAATCAGACTCATCACTCGATTCATCTTTAGTAGTAGCTGCAGAGCCGTTTTTAGCAGAAGTTGCAGGCAATTTCTTCAGCTCAGTGCTTTTTTTGGATTCTTTGTTTTTCTGTATCATTAACAAATATTAGTTTCAACGGCAATATGCCATCAAATCTAAACCATAACACTTTCTACCAAACGTATTATAGATTTTATTTACTTACAGGCTCTTCATCTGAAGAGCTATCATCCTCATCTGAACCATCAGAATCACTTGATGTGTCTTTTTTAGAAACAGCAGCAGGTGCTTTCTTAACAGAAACTTCAGATCCTTTCTTTGCAACTGAAGTAGGCTTGGCAGAGTCCTAATAAAATGGAACATACATCAACACCAAAAAAACTTTGTGAATTACCCATTGAAAGAGATTTTGCTAGCGAAAAAGCTTTTAACGCTGCCTAACCACAAAATTCACAAAAGATCAATTACTATAGGGTCACAACAAAAACTTACATCTTCCTCCTCTGAACTGTCATCTGAGTCAGAGCTACTTGACTCCACTTTCCCCTTGGGGATGGCAGTAGTGGGGCCACTCTTTTTTGCAGCAGTAACTTTTCCCTTTGGTTCCTAGAAGACGAGAACCATTGAATTGATTACACAAAGGTAAAGCATTTGGACAAATAAATGAACAAACTTCCAGACAGTGCTAGCACCAGCAGTGGAATGGTTATTTTATACTCACATCATCAGAATCAGAATCATCATCAGAAGAGTCTTCCTCCGAACTACTGGACGCCTTGCTCTTTTTGGCAGGGGCTGCAACAGAGTTCTTTTTTGCAGCAATTGGTCCCTTCTTCAATGTTTCAGCAGCTTTGGAAGCAGGCACCTTAAACAATTGAGAGATTGAAAATTACGTCAACATAACACACATATTTATCACCTATCACACTTATCAATGCTGTTTGAAAAACATATAATATATACACACTAAAATCCACAAAACAATGAAAAGACATAATTCATTCGAAGTCCATGACCCTTTTAAAAAAGGAATCAACGATTTAACTTCCGGTTAATTGGGGGAGAACTTTTACTCACTTCGTCAGAATCAGAATCTGAGTCTTCTTCTGAGCTGCTACTACTACTAGCAGGCTTATTCTTCTTTGCAGGGGCAGCAACGACACCATTGGCTTTTTTAGTAGCCAATGGTCCTTTCTTTGAAGAGGGAACAACTTTAGTAGCAGGTTCCTGAWGTTTTTAAAAAAATTAAAAATAAAATAAAATAAGTAATATAATTGCACTGCAGATTATACAAAGGCCTCCTCTTCTTATTGACCAAATTGACCTTATCATGAAACAAATAATTACATTGTAGCGAATGCCATAAAAATAACAAATGAACAATGCAAGAAAAACAAATGTTGAGTACATAGAAGTCGTTAGTTACTAAGATCTCTGATCATCAATCTCTGAGGACCATTTGTAAGCACAATTTTAAAAACAGCTTTTCCTGACCTGGTAACTTATAAACATAAGTCGGTTTTCCATACTAAATAAATCCCTCCCCCACATGTTGTACTTAAAAAATCCAGAAAAAGATAAGTAAAAGGTTTCAATACTACTAAACCACTAAAATACATAAGTGGGTTACTTGAAGATCATTCATTTATATAATCGTCATCATTAACTGTTCTTTCAAGCATAAACTAGTCCAAATAAAGTATTTCTTAAATTAATAAAAGTAGAGGAAAAATGAGGGGAGAAATCCTTACAATTTTTCAAGTCGAAAAATAGTAGGAAAACGTTATCAAAATTAATTTAATGAAAAGCTATCTGAAAGAAGCATCAACCCGTTAATATACTGGAGTACAAGCAATAATTCCAATTTATTACAATAGCTAATCTAAAACTCATAAGTTATTAAAATGTTGATGCGAATACGAGCTGAATTGCAATGACTACAATTTTCCTGATCAACGAGGGAAACGCCGAGAAAACATGCGAAAAAGCAAATAAAACATCTTGTCCATGGCATGGTGTTTACCGTCTCTTCGTCGGAATCAGAATCCTCTTCAGAACTACTACTTGTCTCCACCTTTTTCTTCTTCTGAGTTTTAGCTTCGATCTTCTGCTTCTGAACTGCCTGCTCAACACCCTCGTCCTTTTTCTGCTTCTTCGTCACCACTTGTTTCTCCACAGCCTCCTCAGCCGCTCTCTTGCCTTCGCGAACACAAATAAACCAAACATTTTAAAAACAAACCGCAAGAATCAAAAACTGAACCATAAAAACTCATTTAAACAACATATAACAAATAGAATCACAAAATCAGCTATACTTATGAATGCATCCGATACCTTTCTTCTCGGGCTTGGAGGGCAGAACTGCAGCCGGAGCCACATCAACCTACAACAATCAAACAAGAAATCGAAAAAATAAATACAAAATGCATCATCAAAATTATGCAGAAACAAAAATAAAAAACAAAAAATAAAATCACGCTTCTGAAAATCGTGCGTACTTTAGTAGCAGACTTCTTGCTGGACTTGCCCATTTGAGATAGAACAAAAACTTGGAGAGCCCGCGAAGGGTTTTCAAGAAAAATAAGAATGGAAAAAAGAAAGAAAAATGGAGGCTCTGCAAAACCCTACTCGACGAAAAAGATTAGGGTTTTGGGGGGAGCGGTGAGTGAGAGAGAGAGCCTTTACTTCAATATTTATAAGACGCTTGTTTTGTTTTCGGTGCGGGTTTTAGGGTTTCAGCGTGTCCGCACGTGTGGGATATAAATCGCTGGATCGCAGCTCTATTAATCGCCGTTCTGCTTTAATCTACGCCGTTCGTTGGCTTCCAATATTAGATCACTGCGGCGATAATGTTTCAAATCGTCCGTTGATTTTGTCGACCCGTGCGCGGTTCGGGCAGATATTTTGAGACAGTACTTGGTATTCGGGTAAAAAATTATTGATTTTTAAAAATCATTAAAAATAAGGAAAGTTTTTCTTTTTTTACTCTTTTAAGTTTTAACTATAATTTCCATTTTATGCTATTGAACACTAATATGGAATAAATTGTGAAATTGACGATATTTTCAAAACTAACTTTTAAAAAATTTCTATGAATTATTATGGAATAAATTGCATAAAATTCAACGTGTATAAAACTCAATAGGCTAGATCAAGCATAAAATAATTGTACGTAAATATAATTAGTTACAACACCTTGAGTTTTTACTCTCGTTTTTTCCGAACGATTTTGAGTTGCTCACTTTAAGATGACTAGATTGGTAAAAGTATTAATAAATCTATGTTATAAATTAGATGTTCAAATATTCATCTCCCGATTCAAGTGTGATGTTCGTGCGAAACACCAAAAGTCAATTATAATATTTTTAAACCTTAAAAAATACACTGCAAAACTATAATAACCAATGCTCTAAAAAAATAAAAATTGTATTCTTCAACAATATAAAATTTTAATTTTATTGCATATTTTTAATTCAAGTATAACTCGAGAATTAAGGACATTTCTACTATTTTGATAGAAATAAGGTTGAAATTCTCACTTTTACATTGGTAATGCTACATTCTTCTTGTTTTTTTCTTTTCCTTTGGTATAAAATATATAAAGTGTAGAAATTTGAACCTTCCCTCAAATTAATGAACCATATGTTTTACTGCTAAAATATACTTATGTTGACATTTATAATATTGTGTTAAAACGATAACAACCACTTATTTAAATTCATCGTCTACTTATAATTATAAATTTTTAGGATAAAATTGGCAATAGGAGCATAGTTAAGTAGTAAACAACAAAATTTTCATACTTTGATGCGGAAGATGTGTAATGACAATAGTTGAAACCCAGAATTCAGAGTTCGTAAGATGTGGAATGACAATTAAATATGACATTTGTAGACATCATATTTGATCCAACCAATCTTATTTTTTCATTTAATAAAAAAATCATCTTTAATTAAATATTAAAAAATATATAAAAATATAATTTGAAAAATGTGTTAGACTATTATTCTTCCTTTTATCTCTCCCTACAATTTCTCACCTCAATTTTTCTCTTATTCGTCTCCATCTATAATATCCTCCTTATTTTCTATTTTTCGTCTTTTTTTTCCATCTGGATGCGGTTCAAGTTTACAGGATAATAAATACACATCTTCAAATATTTATCCACAATTTAAAGGTATATATATATATGTTTTTTATTTTCATAGTTTCAAATGATGTTGATAATCGATATGTTAAGCAATTTGATATCGTTTTATTTTATCTTTCTATTGTTTCGTAACTCTACATCTTATTGCTTCTAAATTTAGATGGGGTTTATGAAATTTTTTGTTTGTAGCCATTTTTACAAAACGATGTGTTCCATTGATTAATTTGGAACAAGAGAGTTAGTTTTTTAGTCATGTAAAGTTTTATATATATATATAGACACACACATACATACATATACATATATTTATATATATATACATATACATACATATATACATGACAATATTCTCATTGTTAGTTTTTTCTATTTTTCAATGTGTTCCTCATTCATTTTTAGTTCCATTAATCACAACTTCTTACCTTTTATTTTTTGAATGTTAATCTAAATAATAAGTCGATTTCTTGTATTTTGTTTTTTTTTTGTTCTTTAATAAAATCAATGAGTTGTTATTATAAAATATTTTTACGTACAACATGATGAATAATAATGAGATATAGTTTTAAATTATATGTTGAAACTAGTTATTTTCACGTAATATGAATTCAGTTCAGTATTATTATATATCGTTCTTCGTTGTTAAAGTTTTATGTTTATTTAATAAAATTATTGACATGCTAACGTATAGTATTTTTATGATTATTAATTTTATTTTATATGCATGAATTTTAATATCATTAGTTGAAGCCATGAAGAACATAGAAGATACAATTTTACATGGTCAACTATCTAATAATTATGAAGTTCATTAGGAAGTTAATGTAGATCCTAGTATCAATATTCAACTTGAAGTGCAGAGCCAATTATTGGATGAAGTTTAGTTATGTGGATGATGTATATAAGTTTTATGTCGATTATGGAGGAAATGTGGGTTTTAATGTAATGAAACAACATCGCAAAATGAAAAAAGTGGAAAATTTTCAAGGATAATTTGTTGTTGCTCAAGAGAAGGGTTTCGACAAGAAGACAACCGAAGAGGAACTACTTCGTATGTTCAACCAATTTATAGGATTGGATCAAAGCTCACATTTGGAAAGAATGATCGTACAAAGTTGTGTCTTTTAATATAAATCACGATCATGACATTGTTAGAACGCTAATGAAGCATATTTTAAAAGTCAATGTGAGCATTTTCAATGCTAAAAAAGCTCTAGCTTATGATGCATATGGATAAGGAATTTCAATTAAAGCAACCATGAAATTGATGAGTAGAGAAGGCGATGGCAGAGAATATTTGGAATTCTTCCATAAAAATTATATAAATTATATACGCAAAGCGAAAAAACAATAATTAGAAAGGGAGAAGCTGGAGCAATATTAGAATATAAAAAAAAAAAAGAAGACAAATGGGAAGTTCTTATTTCTTTTATACATTGCAACTTAATTGATATGACATTATCACTAAAATTTTTTGGGCTGATGCATGATCAGTTTGTGATTATGGTCTTTTTGGAGATGTCATTTGTTGCATCACTATTTATCAAATGAATGAATTTGAACGAGCTTTTGCACCATTTATTATGGTGAATCATCGTAATGGTTAAAAGCCCCTATGTTTAGTGGAACCCTTTAGGAAAAATTTTGGACTTTCCATGCTTTGATGCTCTAGATTTGTTTTGAAGGGCAGCAAAGGATTTTGACGAGGACAAACTAGGTGTGTTCGTGCTAAGCATATAACTTGTTGGAATCTATGAAACAAATGTGTTTTCGACAAAATTATCGAGCCAAAAAGGGTCTTATATCTTGGGCTGTAAATTACCTAGATGAAATTAATTAGGAGACCAATTAACTTAGGAGGCACCATAAAAACATGGAAGAATCATATCCAACACCAACAGAAATCATCATAATACACAAGCCAACAACACTATAATATTAGACAGCAAGAGTAAAAGCTGAAAGGCACCAAGCCAAAACATTTACCAATTAAACTCATGTTTGAGTTTGAGTTCTCAATGGAGAGGTAGGATTCGGGTTGACTATTCGTGATTGTTATGGCAATGTAATGGTGAAAGTAGGGAAATTTGAGAAGCCATATGGTCTGATAGAATTGGAATAAGTGAACGCTTTTCGAGACGATGTCATCATATGGTACAAGAGTGAAGTATTTGTCCAATTTGGGTCGAGACAGAATTCTCCATAGTTTGGATGGCTTTCCGAGACAGTGTCGTCATGGTGCAAGAGCGAAGTCTTTGTCCAATTTGGGTCGATACAAAATTCTCCATAGTTTGGAACTTCTTAAAGAGTAGAAATTGTTACGAAAATGAAGTACAACTTCTAATGATGAAATTTTCTCAATGTGGACGAGAGGAGAAGTTCAAGGTTTCACACATGCATCAAGGAGTGACAATGAAGTAGCCAACTCCCTTATTGTGCATACTCGAATGGAGAGTTATACCAATATTTGGATGGAGGATTGCACACCACGGGCTCTCGTGACTTTAAATAGAGACTCTTTCTTCGTGTAGGGGAAGTGAAAACTCACCAACCTTTATATCCCACTGAGATAAAAAAAAAAGTCCAAAATTTCATACCTCTGTCCCATATAAATGAGGTGGTAGAGATTGGACTATCACCAATAATAAGTACCTCATCAATTAAGCTATGTTCGTGTGATGCTCGAGTAGAGAGGAGGGATACATGGATGAATCCTGAGAGGGACTATGAGATCAGGAAGCATAGTTAAAAACACTTAAAAAATTGATAATTAATATCTATACTGACAATGTGTACTAGCTCAACTATAAGAGCTTCAAATTAAGTGAAATCTTAGGTGGGTACCCTCATAATTTACCATTTTGAAAGGACTAAATATTCTATCTCATTATTGATTGTTGTTTTTTTATTTATGAAAGAATGATACAATACACTAATCCGAGCATACTTATATTCAACTAAAAGGTCACTCCCAACAAAAATACAATGGGAACAAACATAATATAATTTAATTGGTTTCTTTTGTCTTTTTTAATTTGAAATAACAGATTATAACAAAAATAAGAAGGCAAAAACCAGATCGTGAAGAAGCCAAGCTCAATCGCGTATAGCCCAAGCCTCAGCGGTAGCTGGATTGCACACAAATTGAACCGAGCGCGCGGAGGTAAACACGATTTCTCTCTGTGCATTACGAATAATCGCTCCTGTACCCATATGATTTTCTGACTTTCTGATTGCTATATCAGTGTTAAGCTTCAAGATGTCGACCGTGGGAGGGATCCATCGACGACGAGCATGCTCGCTGCTTCTAGGTAAGTTATGAACTTGAGCCCTATCATTCTTCACGTCAGCTGATTTAAACTGAGATAAATAGAATTCAATCCACACCCTCAAATCTTCCTGCACATCAAAAGTTTAAGAGGATCGAATCTAACAGCAAAAGCGAAGCAGAGATCGGCGGGGGATTCACTGGCCGTTAGCCGCCATGTGGAGAACTGAACTAGACGACGAAGGAATTTGGAAATCTGCAGAGCCCTGTCGATTTGAAGGAGAAATGACCGAGTTTGGAACTGGACAAGGACGATGGCATTGCCATTGACATTGAGCTGAGAGCTTGCCAAATGTTATAAATCCGTTCTGTTTGCTATGGCGTCTTTGCTATCCCGTACTTCGCGCAGGTCTCTGTCCTCTCTCTTTCTTCATCGTGAATTCCTCAATCTCTTCTCCAGTCTCGACGCGCCAATTTCGTACTCCAGAGCTAGTTTAGTTTCCAATTTATGGTGTACTCGGTCGGATTTTGCTCGCGAAAATTTAATTCGAGATTTTAGATTTGGATTCATTCATGGTTTATCTACGTCTTCGGATTTAAAGGACAGTTCCAACCCTCGTGGTAGTGTTACGAATGATGAAAAAATTCAAGCGAAAGTTGAGATGTCCTGGATTTCTTTGTATTTGCCCAAAAAGGCTCAGCCCTACGCTCACCTTGCGCGGCTCGATAAACCCATTGGGACGTGGTTACTTGCTTTGCCTTGTATGTGGTAAGAGCTACTTATTTTTGGTCTCTGTTGGAGTATTTGTAAATGTCATGGTACATAAGGAACTTTTGGACTTTTTAGACTCTACATAGTTGTTAATTGACCAGTGGTACTGATTCTTACATTCAATATTCAGCCCGGTTCTGGACTTAGTAATATTTGTATCATACTAATCACTATTAGTTGTCTAGTTGTAAAAGGACTTGATACAAAGCAATGTTGTATCATACTAATCACTATTAGTTGTCTAGTTGTAAAAGGACTTGATACAAAACAATGTAAAATGGTTTAAGTCGTGCTAATCATCAAGATAAGGAGTAATACATTTCATATTCGATCCTAAGTCTGGTATTAAGAGGTTAGTTGAGGTATGTATAATTTAGTTAAAATCTCCATAGTTATTTATTAAAAAAATCTTCATATTCTTCATATCATGTGTATTATTTCAAACTTTTCTTATAAAAAAAATATATTATTTCAAACTTGATTGATTGTGAAGTAACAAGGGATTGTCATGAAATCTTCTAGTTGGGATGTGTTTCCTGTAACAACTTAAAATAGACAAGTGTCTATCATTGGTTTATTTTATTACTCTCTCATTTGCACTTTTTGAACCATAACTTGTTGTTTTTGTATTATCCAGGTAATAAGACGGTGTTCACACTCTCTACTGGATCATATATGTTAGGGAGTGCATATTTTCCAAAATTCATAACTAGAGTAAAATTGTATTCTTTAGGTCAATTACCTTGGCGGCATCTCCAGGCCATTTACCTGATTTTAAAATGCTGACTCTATTTGGATGTGGGGCTTTGCTTTTGAGGGGTGCTGGGTGTACCATAAATGACCTCCTTGATCGAGATATTGATACAAAGGTCAGTACTTCTTTTTCTTGCATGAATGTCATATTCTGATGCTTTTCTCTATCTTGTGGCTTTTATCTACACTCTTGATGATATATCGATGCTGAGCCTTTTAAATAATATAAATTGGTTAGTCTCTGCAGGTGGTGTGCAAATCTACATGTTTTATTTTGTGATAGACGTATTGGCCCCTGCACTTTTAAGGTTTTTTATTAATAAATTTATTACCTTCTAATGTTAACATTTGTAGTCCTTTTTCTTGGTAAGACAAGTTTTCCTGTGTAATACCATAACTCACCTTTTAAAGAATAGTTTGTGTGTATTCTTCACCCGGTAGAATGAAACCTTGTATGATTGAAATCCACCCGGCTATCACAGAGACCAAGAAATCTGTTAAAATAACTACCAATTGAAGAAAAAAAATTATGGAAATTTTCCTTCCAACTCTTGATGCTCTGCAGGTTGAACGTACCAAGCTAAGACCAGTTGCAAGTGGTCAATTAACCCCATTTCAGGGAGTAAGTTTCCTAGGGTTGCAGCTGCTTTTGGGACTTGGAATTCTCCTTCAACTGAATAATTACAGGTTGGATTGGTTTTCAGTTTCTCTTTAGAGTGAACTAGGTCATATATGTTTATGTTTGGTAGTTTGATGTTTCTAACGAAGCTTATCTATTTTTAACAGCCGCATTTTGGGGGCATCTTCTTTGCTTCTAGTCTTCTCCTATCCTCTCATGAAGAGGTTCACATTTTGGGTATGATGCTTTAATTACGTATGCTAAGTTATGTATTCTATTTATCTAAGGAACGTAGTAGTTGAATGTGGCTTAAGTGAGATATGTGTGGCAGCCTCAAGCCTATCTGGGTTTGACCTTCAATTGGGGAGCTTTATTAGGCTGGGCTGCCATCAGAGGAACTTTGGATCCAGTTATTGTTTTGCCACTGTATTTTTCTGGCGTATTCTGGACTCTTGTATATGACACAATATATGCACATCAGGTAAAGTCTGATTTCCACCTTTCCTTTGTTTATTAGAAATTTAGATTTGATGTCTCCCAGCTTTAGCGTCTCATGCTATGTTATGTATTCAGTATTTTGTGCCATTTAATCATCAGGAAGGATCCTACTGCAATAACTTTTTTTTTTTTTTTAAATAAGAAACAGAGACCTACTGCAATAACTTTTGTTGGTTATTCTATGCCTAAGGTACCCTTCATTGTATTATATTCTGAAGTTAGTTTTAGAAAGAAAAAAGTTATAGTGTGCCCTTTATGGCATCCTAAAATTTCATAAATGACATTCCTCCGACCATGGGATTCAAAATATTTTGATGTCAATTTGTCTGTCTCAGTATCATCTGCGTCCAACTAAAATGAGCTACAAGTGACCACCTACCTAGGATTTAATATCCTACGAGTTACCTAGTCAACCAAATGTAGTAGGGTCAGGCGGTTGGCCCGTGATTAGTTAAGGTGCGCGCAAGCTGGCCCAGACACACGAAATTCAAAAAAAAAGAAAAATTATCACATTCATCTTTGCTCTATGCTTTAGCTTTACAGTTTACAGTAGCACATGTCAAACTCCTGTACTTTGTACGACTAGTGCGTAGAAATAGTGAAAGACCGAGAGATGGGGGGAGATAGATAAAAAGGGGAGTGGGTAGACCAAAAAAATTAAAAGAGAAAAATAAATAAAGAGACAGATTTGAAAAAATTCAAAAATAAATTGATAGAGGGAGAGAGAATACGAGAGACGGGAGTGAGGTTGGGGGGGGGGGTGATGACACAGAAAGAGTTTGAAAACAAAAAAGAAAAAGGAAAGAGAGAAAATGGAGGCTGATAGGAAGATGAGCTGGAGAGGGGCAAATTTTATAATTAAAAAACCAAAAAGTACTGATAGATGGAGGGAGCTCGTGAAGTCTTGCTCTAGTGGTGGTGATCATGGATGAAATAGGTTCCATTTATAGCAAAAAAATATTGTAAAGCAATTGCAGAAATGTTTGTCCAGGGAACTCCACCAACAAGTTTGGGAAAAAACACGATCCTTTACCTCTATTCTAAGATATTCCAGAATTTCCTTCAGAAGTTCTCAATGTCTTTCAAACTTACTTACCAAACCTCTAGCAAGTCACGTTTCATCAGCCTCAAAAGACTAGCTGACTGTTATTGATATCCTCCACGCAACTTGATGGGGGAATTAAGGAAGGAACTTAAGAGGGTCCATTGTGCATGAATTCAGTATTATGCATGGCTGTAATGTTCTTTCTTTTATACATTAGCTAAGTCACGTGCCTCTTTCTTAGAGGTCTCTCCTTTTGCTGTAATGTAATGCTTTCTTCATGACCCACTGAAGTTTTACCCTCAGTTCATGTATCATACATGCTATTCTTAGTTCTCTGTCATTGAACCTCCAAAAGGTTGTACCTCACTACTCTTTTAGGCTATTTGGTGATTGGTAAATGTACTATGTTGAGTTTACTTTTACTTTAGATCTAATGTTTTCTGCTACATACTCTGATCTTAGTTGCATATGCTAGAAAACAGACAAGGAAATGATGATATTATAGCTAACACACATTTGTATTGTGTTTATAGGCTTCTTTCAACATCTTAAAGATAAAAAAAAACCCTTGATATAGTTTTACGATGTTATGAAGAAATGTTTGAAACTTGGGAAAAATACTTTTAAATACTTTTAGGTGCTTTTGAGAAAAACCGTTTTTCCTAAGTGCCACTAGAAAAAAATGCTTCTTCTATCTAAAGATAGTATTCTTTAATACACTTTTGAAATCACACATAATCTTCTGGTTGCAATTCTTACTCTTGACGCCTTTAGGATAAGGAGGACGACTTAAAAGTTGGTGTTAAATCTACTGCTTTGAGATTTGGCGATTCGACAAAGGAGTGGATTACTATGTTTGGAATTGCAAACATTGGCTGTCTTGCTCTGAGTGGTTACAATGCTGATATTGGTAAACTACTTTATGCCTGTCCTCGGTCCCAATTTCCAGTTCTCAGTTAACCCTACAATATATTTTGACATCTTATTCCTTACCATTGTGGAGCAGGATGGCCGTTTTACGCATTTTTGGCTGCTGCTTCTGGACAATTGGCTTGGCAAATATCAACAGTCGACTTATCATGTGGTGCTGATTGCAATAGAAAGTATGTATCTGATTTGGAAGGGTACTATATCAAGCACTAGTAGAGAAAATTAAGACAGTTGATTTTATGAGTTGAATGCATGCATTTTCAAACTAGTTGGCTTTCTTAAACCCATGGATATCATTTAAAAGGATGCTTATTACCGTTTTATTAATTTCAATCCATTAGTTTGATGATACTATAGGCTGTTCTTAAAGCTTACATGTTTAGATGAAGCTTTGTGCATATTAAAAGTTGAGGAGCTTGTTATATGTATTTGCTTTCTTCCCTTCTCTCCCTTGTACAATGATTTGTTGGGTTTTTTTGGGCAAAAATTTTACAGGTACATTAAGATGATGGGGCTCATGGTTTTGGGTTTTATTCATCTGATGTCTGGTATACTAATTCTAGACTGTGCTATAATAGGGCTCATGGTTTTGGGTTTTATTCACATGATGTCTGATATACTAATTCTAGTATGTTAGTCGTATAAAACTTTGAGAGCGTTTTTTGTAATTTCAGTCGAGGAGTGAATTCTGATTGTAACATTTTTCATATCGTGGATTTTTTTCCTAGTGGGCTGAGGTTTCTCTTTGATTTAGAGTTTTTCCACATAAATTCTTGTGGGTCTTTATTGTTGTTATTTTCTTTTAATTTATCGATTATTTTCTACAGTAGAAGTGGGAGGTTTTTTCCAAACATGAATCCTAGCTTTTGCTCCTCATTTTTTCACTTCTTGTCTCAGATTCGTCTCCAACAAGTGGTTTGGTGCTATAGTGTTCAGTGGGATCTTGCTTGGAAGACTTTCATCATAGAATTATTTTTTTGGAAATCCGAGTCCAAGTCAGCAGATATGTTCAAGAAACGTACGAAAGCCAGCAGTTGTTTGTACGCTATCATTTAACCTTTTGGTGCTACAGTGTTAAGAGGGATCTTGTTTCGAAACCCGGTCCGAGAAATATATGAAAGCCAGTAGTGGTTCTGGAATACTTGGAGAAGTACAATTAGGTTTTGAACCCTATCCAAGTTCAAAGTAAGATAGGAGGATCCAATATTGCACTGCTTCTGAATAGCGTTTGTCCTAAAAACCGAGTTCGACCCCTTAGAAAGTTTCAGGTGATGTGAAGTAACCAGGTTACTACTAAGGGATAAATTTATGGATCATGCTTAATTGAAATTCTGAAAAAACCGTAATTCATTTAATGATTTGTTTGAGTACAACATGTGAAGGTGGGGATTCGAACTCTTAATCTCAGGTTGATACGTATGCCTTAACTTGTTTGGTTGGCTAATGATTTTGATTGTTACATAACTATTTAAATTGATTTTTGTTACGAAAAATTTCTATATGTTGCATTATTATTAATTTAGTCATATCTTCTCTTTAGAAAAGTTGAGTTAGAAGGGTCCCTAAAATTGAAAAACTTTCTATTACTAAATTTCTTCTGAAAAATGTTTGTAATTATATCTCCAAGCTTAAGGAATTATTGCAATTATTGCAATTTGGTCTGACCACTAAAGGAGGTTTTATTTTTAATATTAATTAAAGGATAAGAGCTTTTATTTTTTATTTTTTATTTATCTTCTTTCACGGCACCACTAGCTCACAACGGGGGGGTTTTCAAGCGAGATTTGTGAGCATCTAGTTTATTGAGAGTAACGGGCTAGCTCATAGTTGGCATGGTTACGGAGTGTGAGGTGGAGAGAGACTGCAACGTAATCTTGCCTCTGATGGTGCAACGTGATCTCGCCTTTGGTGGTCTTTTGAGGTCATTGATAAAAATTTAAAGCTCATTTGTTACATATTAATCGTTAACTAGAAACTTGCATTAGTCGATAACGGATGAAGGTCAGGTAATCACTCCTAAACACATATCTTCACTGAATTAGGAGTTATAACCGTGCGTAATTGTGATGCTTTTGTAAATTTAGGAAGATAATTGCTTATAGCAAATATTTTAAGCGGTTGTAACAAATGTTATAGTGCATGTATCCACGTACCAAAATTTCTTACACTTTTTTAGTTTTATATATTTTCAAAAATAAAACTAGGAAATAAGAGACCAAAAGGAATATAGAAAGTTCATAATTCTTTCATAAAAAACAAAAGGAAGATAGAAAGAAAGTTGATCATTCAAAGGTATAGAGAAAAATTAATACTATTGTAAGTAACATGAGGAAAGGCTGAAAAGTAAGTTTTTATTAAAAGAAAAAAAATCATTGATTTACCTTTTGCAAAAGGAAAAAATGATTTGATTCTGATGTCTCACATTTATTGTACTACAAAATGAATCATGTAGTTTGAGCATAGATTTTATTGGAAATGTATGCCAATTATTGTTGATATGCTYGCTTTGAYGTATTTTATCARATTTTTATTTGATCCTTAAATTTCAACAAAGTAACAATTTAATTTCTCATTTTACAAAATAGTTTGAGTAAAATTTTATTAGTGGCGGAACGTTCTAACGTTCACGTGGTATTGGTGGACAGTATTTTTACAATTTTTTCCCATTCTCTCTTCCCCTCCATTTTACTCCACTACTTCTCAAATTCTCCCAATTCCTCCCAAGAAAGATCTCCTAAAAACTCAAATTCTCCTAATTTTTAGATGACAGTTGATAGATAGAGTTGGGATCTGGATGCTCTGAACCCAAACAACACCCCCATTGCTAATTCCTCTTTAGTTTCTTTGTTATTTTGCTTCTGAGTTGTTATTTTTGTTGTTGTGGAAATTGTCCCAGAGTGTGGCCCGCTGCCTCTAGGGCTTCCAAGATTGTCCCGGGCTTTTCGGTTTACTCAATTTAGACTCTGTTTACTTATCAAAAATCGGAATAAATTGTAATAAAAATAAATCGAAATGGGAATGTTATTGTTTACCAAAAATTTTCTTTGAATTAGATAGGAATGTTATGAGAATTACTAGTATACCCATTTCTTTTTTATGTTAATCTTTTTTTTTAATTAAAATAAATATTTTATTTTATTTTAATTTTAATTTTCTTATTATAATAATTAGTTGATATTAATAAATAATAAATAATGAATAATTAAATAAAATGACATCAACTAAAATATATTTTTATTAGAAAACAATCATTAATATAAAATATGCTGAAATGAAAGGATAGGGTGAGAGATAAAGGGGAGAAGCCTCTAAATTGATATTATTTAATAATAACAAAGTAATATTAAAAAATTAAATATAAATTTATAATATTTCACAATAGAATCTCATCAACTAATAGAAGTTGTAATAAAAATAACAAAGTAATATTAAAAAATTAAATATATATTTATAATATTTCACAATAGAATCTCATCAACTAATAGAAGTTGTTTAAATTTTTATTACAAGAAAAATTATTAGTAGGATAAATGAAAAAGGAAATAATCAAATTATAAAGTAATAAATAATTAATTTAAAAAGTTATGAGTCCCCTTAATAAAAGAGAGAAAACGGATAAAAGTAGTAAATAAACTATAATAAATGTACGTGAGGCACACCGCACACATAATAAAGACTGAGTAATCGGATTGATGAGAGTGTAAGACAAAAATGAGATTACCAAATTTGAAGTAGGTCATACCATTGATTTCATTTTTACAATTTGGTAAATGCTGGAATAAAAAATTTGATTCTCAGTCCTTGATTTCTGTTCACTTGAATAACTTCCCATCAATTAAAAAGGCATCTTCTTTTTTTGGTCTTTGTTTTAAGGGTTGGAAGTGAGGAAACCGATTGCAGAACTCATAAAGTAGTTGTGAGGAAGAAATGGAGCAATAGATAAGGGGGACGAGAGGGAAAGAATTGACATGTAGGTAGAGACAATATAGAAATAATAAACATAGTCGAATCATCTAAAAATTGTTCACTCATCAATACCACGTCAAGATTCCGTTAATAACGAAGTTTAACTATAGGACCTTTTAGAACTACTAGCAATAATCACGTGCAATGCACGTGGAATTAAATGTTTGTTTTCCAAATATATTAAAAATGATGTTTAAAAAACTAAAATATGAATTTACGAAAACTTAAAAGGCAAAATAAGAAATATACATTCTCCTCCATAGATACATCTCTACTATTTGATTGTGATGTTTCATATCGTAGTCTGATCAGACCATATACAGATGATAACACTCTTCTTTATGTAACCACATCCAATGAATTAACTTCTCTCAACAAACATATTTACTTGAATAATTTGCTCTTGTTAATAAATTTTTGAAAATTTAAATGGCAAAATAGGAAAACAAAAACCCTTATAATATGAAAACTAATACAATAATCTAATATGTAAATAATTAATTTAACAAATCAAGTAATAAATATTCATGGTTAAGTACTCAAGTTAGTTAATAAAGACATAAACATAAAAATAAACATGAAATAAGGAATTTAAAAGTAATTAAGACATATACAACAACAATCAAGAGTATATTATGAAGAATACGAACATTAATAAACTAAAATAAATCATTAATATATTAATATAAAAATGTAATTTTATATTCTATTTCATCATCAAATCAAATAAACTTATGGATTCTTGGATCTTTAGTGTTTCTCTTGCAAATAACGAAAATTTTTAATTTTCATTGCAAGAGAAAAGCCTTCATAAACATTTTGAGAGAGAAAAATACACAATTTTATGCATGATGTTTTCTTTCATGTTATATAGATGTTTGTAATCACACCTATTTGGGAATGGATATATCATTTCATCAATCACACCTCTTGAATTAATTTATCTATCTAAAAAAAATACATCGGTCTATTATATTATATATAAATAATTATCAATCTCAATCGCACTCATATGTGAATGAACACAACACTTCTCTCAACAGATACCTCGACCCAACAGTTGCATCCTACCTAAGTTTAAAGGATAAAACARGTATTTACTAAAAAGTGGAGGACAAAAATGGAAGACAAAGATTCTCCTCCATAGCCCCATTTCCATTTATATATAGTATAGATGTTCTAAAGATTAGAGACCAACCTGTCCCCTTTTAAAACTGGACCAAATAGAAACCTAACYTCAAAGACAAAAAGTGTAGTTAATCCTTTTAGTTTTTGTAGTTYTAAAAGTTTCAATTTCATTTTTGTGGTTTGGGTTTACTTTTGATTTGATCTCTATGGTTTAMAAATTTTCAATTTAGTTCCTATAGTTTGGTTAAAACTCACMAACGTATTAATTTATCTTTTACTTACTAAAAAAAATTAGAYAGAGAAAGTTATATATTTGCCGGAGAAAAATAGATTAGAAAGATAAAGAAAAAGTTGAAATTTGAGAGAGAGAAAMGTTTGAGACCATGTTAAAATTATAGAGAAATAAAAATGAGAGTGATGTGTTAGGAAAAATAAAAGAAATAAAAATATATAAAGATGAAAATTTTGAAGAGAGAAATARTAGTAAATGATGAAAATYKTAGAGAGAGAAAGATTAGTTTTTTAAAGAGATAAATTTAGTAAAAAAAATTTTAGAGTGAGAAAAATATTTATTAGATATGTGAATGAATTTTTTTAGCATTAAATAAAAAATATTAAAATTTGAAAAACTTAAAAACTACTTTTTTTTTTAATTTACTTAGAATTTTAAAAAAGCTTTTAAAAATAGATAACATAAGATTGAATGAGTAAACAAGTCTGTTTTTCAAAAATCAAAACCAAAAATCAAAAATAGGAAATGAATTGTTTTTGAATCTGCCCTTAAATAAAATTATTATTGATAAATAAGCTAAAGAATTTAACATATAGAATATAAAATTGTTATCAAAACATAATTTAGGTTGTACGTTTTTTAAAATTACATCAGCTAGGAGAAAAATGCATCACAACTTATAACATGTCCATATTATTCCGTGTAATATAAAATAAAGAACTCATCTAATCGAATAGCAATAAAGTATTTTTTTCCATTAAAAGAAGTTTTAATCGTTAAACATTAATAACAGTATGGTACGACTCACCTGAATACAACTTCATATATATATATATTATTACTTATCTATAATCAAATTATAGTTTCTCTTATTTATTATACTAGGACTAAGATCACTTTATTTATTATTTTGTGTACTACTTCTTCCAAGTGTAGGATAATTGGAGGTGTTACACATTTTTTTCTACCAATTGGAACCTCCCCTCATCACCCCACAAGATTTTACAAGTTCATAATTACTTTTTGCTTCGGTAGCCAAGTTTAGATTTTTCTCCATCCAAATATTTATAATTATTGATAAGTAATTTTTGTAGTTAAAAACTTGGAATGCCATACTCCTTGTTTGTCCTGAAATTTGTAGTTACGTGTCTTTATTACAAACACGCATATATTTTTAAAACTATCATTTTAGTTCATGAACTTAATTTCGCTTTGATTTATTTTAGTCAGCGAATTTGTAATGTTTGTTCATGTACTTTAAAAACATTCGTTTTAGTCGATCTACTTTTAAAACATGACGATTTTGGTTCGTTCCTTTTAATTTTTATCTCATTTATTTTTATCGAAATTTTATCATAACATTTTACTCACTATTTTTTTTTTTTGAAATGTAGCAATAAAATTGTGTTAAAGGACTTTCATTATGTCAAACTGTGTATTTTAATTTTACAAATGAGAATCAAATTGGTCAAGGACCAAAACTGACGTTTTGAAAGTAGTAGAGAAATCAAATTGGCACATTTTAAAAGTAGGAAGAAAATAAATCAAAGAGGTCAAAATGGTATTTAAGCTTTTTTTTTTATTTTTAAATGACATATATGGATTTGAACATAAAATATTCCTAGGTTAGTTTCTTCATAAATAGATTTTAGTTTCTTCATAAATAGTTTTTTTTCTTTCCACCACTAACCTCCATTGATTCTTTAGCCTAAATTGAGTATTAAAGCTGCCATTTTCACAGCTTGCAATTGCTCCTTTATGCAAAAATTGGCTTTGGCAAAAAGTGGCAATATTTTATCGATAAATTAATTCACATTAAACCAAAGCAATATTATACTCAATTATAGACTTAAATACTCTTTTAGCCTTGATATGTTTTAACTTTAGTGTATTTTGGTATTGGTACATTTAGAACACTTTGGTATCTGTATTTTTWATTTTTGTTTTTTTTAGTTCTTATATTTTTCAAAAGGTTCGTTTGGCCTTTCAATTTTTAAAAACGAAATATTTTGGTCTATATTTGCAAAATTTTAACACAAATTTTATACATAATGAAAATTATTCAATATAAATTGACAATTACATTTCAATAAATTTAGTGAGTGAAATGTCATGCTAAAATTTTAATTGAATAAATGAGATAAAAATTAAATTAAAATCATAGAATGATCCATTTTTAAAATATAAGAATCAAAGTTGACGTTTTGAAAGTACCATAACCAAAATGAACAAAAATTAAAAACATAAATATTAGAATAGACGTTGAAAAATACACGAATTACTTAAAAACATACAATTATACAAACCACCTGTTAACCCCCAAATTATAAATAGCTTTAAGGAATAATAAAATAAAATAAATTGAAAGTTCAAAATTTGGCTAGTTTTGGCAATATGGTCGAATTTGATTGGTTGTAACTTGTAAGCATCATTGTACATTTATGGGCGCATATACTTATTTTAACAATAATTGCAATACAATGATTTTTTCTTTTTAAACTCGATTAATAAAATGGTCAACCATTAAGTCATTTATCTTTAAACCCTGAGTTTTATTTTTTACTACTACGTATATTAAAAAAAACAAAATTAATAAAGTGTATTTTAAAAATAAAATCTCAATTAATAAAGGATATTTTTGACACTAGATATCATCATTTTATCCACTGATTTTAATGTTTTGATGTAGAATTTACTATAAATTATTTGATGTACGAGATATTACTGTAATACTTATTTTTTGAGATTCATGGTATTGACAATTAGAACTATTAATTTAAAATTACATCCCTTAATGAATTATGAGATATTTTCTTAATAAATTTAAAAATATTTCGTAATTTAACCATTTAAATGAGGATTTTTACGAGGACTTAACATTTAATTGAGAATTTATTAAAAAAATACAATAATTAATAGTTGAACTAAAAAATAATAAATAGGAAATAATTTCCGGGTGAGGACCCGCCCCGATAACCCTCTCTCCTAATGACCATCTCGAAAGTGGATGGTCCGAGCCCTAAAAATATTGGATTAAAATATTAATATAATTATTTATATTAATAAAGACAAAACGTTTATCTTTTAAAATTTAAATTTGAAGTCTCTCTCTTCCCTCACAGATCTTTTTCTATGAGATTTTGGTTTCCCAAAAGAATTCCCACCGCATTCGGATCCTCACATCCGTGATCCGCATGAACAGTCCCCATCCATGCAAATTCATGCAAATTTCAATTTCAGTTTATTAATCTCTTCTTTCAAAAATGAAATTACAGAAATTATTCAAACCCAATTCCCAATCAAACAAGGAATCCTCCCCAGATTCTCGCCACTTGGTTTGAATGTCTCCTCTATAATCTCCAAATCACAGCGTTGATTAAACACTTCAAATTTCCTCTTCCTCGTCCGATTCCTGTTCAATTTTTGCTCTCCTATTTCTTCTCCGGCTTCAATTCCTCACTCTATAAATTCCCTATTTTCGACTCGAGTAAGCGCAAGAACAATCAGAGGAAAAAAGATCGAGGAGAAAATAGAGCAAGATGAGGGAAAACGAAGACGGAACGGCCAGGGAGAGGATTATGGTGGAAGAAGCTTTCAGGAATACGGAGGTTCCGCCATGGCAGAACCAGATCACTTTTAGGGCTATTTTCACGAGCTTTCTTCTCAGCATTGTCTTCAATTTCATTGTCTGCAAACTGAATCTCACCACTGGAGTCATTCCGTCCCTTAATGTCGCCGCTGGGCTTCTAGGGTTCGCCATTTTGAAGGGTTACACTTCGATTCTCAAAACTTTCGGTCTTATGAAACAGCCCTTCACTCGACAGGAGAACACTGTGATCCAAACTTGCGTTGTCGCCTCCTCTGGGATCGCCTTCAGCAGTGAGCATTCTTCTTCGATTTCAATTCTTCTGCAATTTTTCAAATACGATCCATGTTTTATGTGTTGGATTAGTCTGTGATCTGAATTAGAATTAACAATTATTGATTATGGCCAACAGTTGAATGTTTGGATTCATTGATTGGGAACTGTTTTACAAGATCCTTTAATTTTTGTTTTTTTCTTCTCTGTGCTTTACATTGTTCGTTTTAGTTATTGAAGTGTTTGGAATGTCATAATAATCAGGTGGAACTGCTAGTTATCTTCTGGGAATGAGTGCCAAAATAGCTGCCCAAGGAGAAGAAGGGAACACTCCTATAAATATCAAGAGACTCTCTGTGGGTTGGATGATGGGCTTTCTCTTTGTTGTTAGCTTTGTTGGCTTATTCTCTATTGTGCCTCTTAGAAAGGTTAGTAAAGCAGGCCTTTATTTCCCGGTTTCGTGTTTATTCCATATTGGTTTCTAAATTTTCAAATATGAACTTTAAGAAATCATGTTTGAAGCCAATAATCACATGTGGTAGATTAGAATCAGATGATTACATTTGAAAGTTTAGAGACTTTTTATGAGGTTTAAATCATGTTGTTGTTATTAAATTTAATCTCTGAATTGGATTTTTCCAATAGATGATGATTCTGAAATACAAACTGACTTATCCAAGTGGAACTGCAACTGCATACCTCATCAATAGCTTTCACACACCTAAAGGAGCCAAATTGGCAAAGTAAGTTTTGGCTTCTGTTTTTGTTTATGAATTTCTTCACAAGTTTACTCTAAGTTGGATGTTGTCTTTGCCCTTCCTTAATATTAATACATGGTTACTTGTTTTCAGGAAACAAGTTGCAGTCCTTTTCAAGAGCTTCTGTTTCAGCTTTGTATTTGCCATGTTTCAATGGTTCTATGCTGCTGCTGATGGCTGTGGATTTTCCAGCTTCCCCACATTTGGTCTTCAAGCTTATGCAAAAAGGTAATCGAATCATTCGAAAGCCGTAGTACTTGTCAATGATGTTTATATGTCTTGGGGGTAGTGAATTTGGATTTCAATCTCTACTCATAATCGATGTCAGAATTCACGATGTTTATATCCAATCTTGGTTGAATCTTACAGGTTCTACTTCGATTTCTCGTCTACATACGTCGGTGTGGGAATGATCTGTCCTTTCATGGTCAATATTTCTTTGCTTCTTGGAGCCGTCATCTCATGGGGAATCATGTGGCCCTTGATCGAGCAGAGGAAAGGCATCTGGTACAGCGCTTCTCTATCTGCAAGCAGTCTTCATGGCATTCAAGGCTATAGGGTATCTCTCTCTCTCTTGCATGTTGAAACTAATGATGTAATATATATAGTGTACTTATTTTTGACATTTCTCAGGTTTTTATTGCCATTTCAATGATGCTTGGTGATGGTCTTTACCATGTATTCTACATGCTCTTCCAAACATTCTACAGCCTAGCCAAGCAGAAGTCTGACAGTGAGAATGCCAATACATCATCGGAAATTACTGACTACGACGCCCAACGGAGAACCGAGTACTTCTTGAAAGACCAAATCCCGAACTGGGTAGCATTGATCGGCTATGTTGTACTCGCAGTCATATCTGTAATCACAGTTCCCTTGATCTTCCATCAGTTGAAATGGTACCACATTTTGGTTGCATATGCAATTGCTCCTGTTTTGGCTTTCTGTAATGCCTATGGCTGTGGGCTCACTGATTGGTCTCTTGCATCAAATTATGGTAAATTTGCCATCATCATCTTCAGTGCTTGGGTTGGCCTTGGCAATGGAGGTGTTATTGCTGGTCTTGCTTCTTGTGGTGTCATGATGAGCATTGTTTCTACTGCTTCTGATCTTATGCAAGACTTCAAGACGGGTTACTTGACTCTTGCTTCGCCCCGCTCGATGTTTTTCAGTCAAGTCTGTGGCACAGCCATGGGCTGCGTTTTGTCCCCTCTCGTCTTTTGGTTCTTCTACAAAGCATATAACGTCGGAGACCCCGAAGGCTCCTACCCTGCACCTTACGGACTGATGTACCGTGGCATTGCTCTTCTCGGCGTTGAAGGCGTCTCTTCCCTCCCCAAAAACTGCCTCACCCTTGCCATTTGCTTCTTCGTTGCTTCCATCGCTATGAACATCATCCGAGACTTGCTTGCAAAGTATGAAAGGAAATACCATATCTACCGATTCGTTCCAAGCCCAATGTGTATGGCGATTCCGTTCTACCTTGGTGCTTATTTCGCCATCGACATGTGTGTTGGGAGCTTGATACTTTTCTTATGGCAGAGGAGGGACAAGGTCAGGGCCAGCGAGTTTGCACCCGCCGTTGCTTCAGGTCTCATCTGCGGCGAATCTTTGTGGAGTGTTCCAGCAGCCATCTTGGCTCTGGYCGGCGTCAAGGCGCCTCTTTGCATGAAGTTTTTGAGTTCCTCTACCAATGATAAAGTCGATGCCTTCTTACAAGGATAGTAGTTTTAGGAACATTAGTTTTTAGGAAATTAAATCATTGCATTTGCATTTATCCCAAGTGTGTTTAGTTTCTTTTACTTTATAGTGTGTATAGACAGTAGAGGCAAAATTTGCCATCTTTATTTCTCTTATAATATAATAGTTATTTTCTCAACAAATATGTCTTTACTTTTGTATTATCAGTTTCAATTTTAGATGATAGAGTTTTGAATGTACTCATTTCTTTCTATTAGTTTAAGAAATATTTAAATTATAATTGTTGAACTAAAAAATTAATAACAAATGTCTAAAATTGCTAAATGATGATTTGCATGAAAATCTAAAAAATGTTTGAAACATTTGTCAAATGAACATATAAATATTAAACGAGCCACGATCACTTTTGAAAAGGGTGTTGCCCCTTAAAATTCTCTAAATATTGAATATTGGAAATATTATATTTAAAAAAAAATATTAGATATATTAGATATATATATTTTATTTTATATATAATCTCAATAAATTGACAATAGTTCAAAGTGATTTTACTTCGATTTAAAATCCCATACTCCAATTTTTTATACTAAAAAATAATAAATAGTCCAATTTTTTATACTAAAAATAATAAATAAGTAAATTACTATTATCTTAGAAGTATATCTCTAGTATATATAAAAACCACATAAATTTTGTGTTTCATTTTTACCCTCTTATTTTAACTCTTTACACTATTCTTTAGATGGTAATGGTGTAATTTAAATACAAATTTCCTCTCTCTCCGTTTCTCTCTTCTATCCCTCAAGATCCCACCCCTCTAAATTCCCCCCTCCCTTCATTTATGTCATATTGTCCGTTTAGTGTTTCATCTTCCTATTTCAATTTTGCTATATACTATGAATCAAGACTATAATTAGAAGATCATTAATGTCCATTATCTTTAATCCATTTAACTTCTAAAAACTCTTTCATCTTTTCAAAATATATACATAGTGGGTGAAGTAAATATAAAATGCAAAGGGGAGAGCACTAAACAAACTTGCTAGAAAGTGAGATTTTCATTCTCACCATACTTAACCAAAGGACATAGTAGAAGTCGTTACAGTGGACAGAGGGCATAACAGTTGTGGTCGAGGTCGCAGAATGTGGTTGAGGTCGCAGAATGTGGTTGCTTTAAACTCCTATGCTAGGGGCGCAATCGAGAGAGGGAATTGGCAAGCTAGAAAGAGAAAGTTATTGAGACAGTAGCGGCACTGGATAGAAGAAGACGACATATAGTGAAAGACGATAAACACGTGAAGGGAGAGGAGAGAAAAATAGGTTTCTAAAATTTGTGCCTTTAGGTTTAAAGATACAAATTTATTGTAGTCGGACTTTGTTATTAACTGAAGTTTATGTTTGAGCTACATATGATAATATTGGATTGGTAGAGGTAAAAATAGGCGAGAACTATAGTAGGTAATTTAGTTAACTTTCCCAATTCTAATTTTAGAAATAAATTCCAATAAATAATATATTGTATTATACAAATCAATATTAATTTCATTAACACGTTTAAATTCAGTTTCAAATTTGTTGAATAATTAATTACCCTTTATTTTTAAATTATAATTACAAAAAAATTGTAAGTAAATAATATATTGTGATATTTCTGGACGATAAACGAAGAATAGTAATTAACCACGATAAAATATTGTTATAAAAAATCATGATAAAATATAATATGTAGTTCAACATTCACACAACATTGTAGGTATTGTTTTAGATTCCAATAAAAAAATATTCATATGAAAAAAAGAATTATGTAAAATTTTCAAATAAATAATTAGGAATYGTAAAAGGCACAATAAATAAATGAACAAAAAATATGTTTAAATCCATATTTTGTATTATATAAAATTAATATAATATAATGTGCATACCTAAGATATTCAAATAATAATAATAAGATGYTGAAACCAATATCTTCAATTTTATAAAATTAGGTTACATTATAATTTATAACTTTTTTAAATTAATTTTTACGTACTTTAAAATAAAACTTTTAAAATAAAACTTTAAAGTTCCGCGTGTATCACACATGTTTCTTATTAGTATAGTTAAAAAGATAATGAATAGCTCGGTGATTATTACTTTCCACAAGTTTTAACCAATTAAATTTTGCTGCATATAAAAATGCATTTTTCACAACTTAATCCCCATTTCACAACCTATTTAATCCACCGGGGATGAAATAAATTTGGTTAAAAGACACATTTGGTCCATAAACTTTGTAACAATTTGGTCCCTGAAAAAGATTTAGCCCCTTTTAAAATAGTAACAATTTAATCCCTACCGTTCAAAAATTRGTTAGATTCAACGTAAATCTGACGTGACATATATCTATGTGTACAAGTAATGTCCAACTATGCAATTGGTTCAATTTTCGGTTGAGATAAAAAAAACAATAATTATAAAAGAAAAATGTCTCCCCAATCCCCACATTTCACGACTTTTCATGCTATTCTCCAYGCATCTCATTCTCGTCCACCTCTGTAAGCTCCGAGAAGCTCAAGCAGCAGTCCGACGATGAATTGGTGTACAAAATTTGCACGACAATCTTCCTCCGGGAAACTCTTGTTCGATAGCGTCGTGTGGATCTCTCCGATGGTAGCGTTGATGGGGCGGGGGTGGTTTTTGAAACAAAAAAACCCATTAATAATCGAAAGCAAAATCAAACACCTGTTTTCACTATTTTCAAAACAGAGAAAAGGGGAGAAGAAATCGTTATCGTTACCCGACACCGGGGGGAGAAGATTCCGGTGTCTCTTCTCCCCAGTGTTCAAAATATCGATGTCGATGAAAATATCGAGGTCCTGATTTTACGGACATGTCGATGTTGATGGATATTTCGAAAAAAATAATGGAAATTGTGGAAATTGATGGAAATTTTTTTAATTAGCAAATAAAACTTGAATTGTAGCTTAATTAACTTATAATTGATCACCTTTAACCATTAAATGTAAGAATATGACCATTTTAATTACTTATGAAAATGTCGATGTCAATGGAAATATCAAAAAAAGATTTTTTTTCCTTTAATGATGATTGATGAAAATTATTTGAATATATAAAGTAACATTTAATTGTAAACTTTTGACTAATTGTATTTTTCATAATAGGATTCATTTGGAAATGAGATAATTACCGACTGGTTTCCAAACACATTTCTAAGTTCTAATTAATTCTAAATTCTAATTAACTCGTACTTGTTTACTTTTTACCTATTTTGTCTTTTCAAATTTGAATTCACATTTTTCAAACACATTTTCAAATCAATCATCAATCCAACTTTCTAATCAAATTTACACAATTTTCAAACACCTCAACCTCGTGATTGTGTAATTCATCCAAATTATCTACCAATGGGATCCATATGTGCTTCATATTTTACTCATTCGAGCAAYTACCTTCAAAACTTTCCGTCTATGATGACTTGAGAAAACTATTATAATTTATATCAAAGTTATCAAAATAGTGCACTAGATTCTCCGAGACCATCGTTTGGTATTAATTAAGTTACCTATTCTACTTTATGTTTCACCACTATTTGTATATAATAATATTTTATTTTTTAAAAGTTCTAAGATTATTTCAATATTTATATATGTCAATATTTCACATATATTGTTCAATTGTGTAACTAAGGATTAGATTGGATTAGAAATTATCAATAAAGCAAATTCCAAATCTTATTAGTTATACTTTATACAATATTAAAATGTGAATGTTTCATTGAACAGAATAAGATTACAATCATCGAGCTTGTGAGAAATTATAGACTGTAGTGGTATAGTAGGAAGAGAATGAAAATAAAATAATCTTAAAAGAAGAAGAGGAAAAAAAGAAAAAAGAGTCAACATGTCGACATGTCGAGGACATGGGGGAAAAATCGACTTTTCCCCCATATATCCATATCGAACATGTCGACATGTCTCTCGACATTTTGAACACTGCTTCTCCCTCACCCAGAGGCTAGAACATTGGCCGCCACGTACGACGGTGCTAGAACACTCTCAAAGAGATGTTGGGTGGAGGAGAGAGTATCAGAAGCGATCGCCATTTTTAACTCTGAGCTTCTGAATACRAGATTGAGTGCTGATCGTCGAAGATTCTTATCAGAGGGCTAAGAGTCCCTCACAATTGAGATCATCGGGGGAGAGAATTTTGGTAAAATTACCAATTTGTGAAGTTTTTTTTATCAATCAAAATACCAGAAWAAAACCCTATGCTGTCCACCTGCAATACATCAATATTCATGAGGCTCCATCTCAAAACCAATTGGCAATGAGAGGAGTAGCCCATATCTATTATAAACCATTGTTAGGTCCCTTCTTTTTTCGAAGTGGGATCCTTAATATGTCGACCCTTCAGGATCGTGACAAATTTTTTTTTATAAACCCGGYGCCTAGGCGCCTGAGCCCAGCGTCGAGGCGCAGTCCGCCCGTTTCCTTCAGTCTTTCTCACTTCTCTAGTACTCTTTCACAACAATTCCTTGCCACGAACGACACTAACTTACAGACTCGATTTACAGGATTAAATGCTCAAAACAACAGGGTTTTACATTGATCGAATCAACGAAAAAACTGTTAATCTAAAGCCAAAAACTGAAAACATCTATTTGCAAACCACACACATCAAATGTATGGAAACACCCACCATTCTTTTCCTTGTTATTCAAAACAAGATCGAACGTAGAGCCTAGGCTCTGATACCAATTGAAGGGATCRGATCCCACAGCGGAAGCGCGCGAACGCGTGTGCTTCGATCTTGTTTTAGAATTACAACAAAGAAAAAACATAAGCATGAAGAAAAGGAAGTTAGTGATACATACCTTTGAAGACACCTCTTCAATGTAGACACCAACGCCACCACAAAGTTTTCTTCGTTATCCTATGGATATTAAGAACTCGGTTTGTGGGAACTGTCTTATAATTAAAAGGAAGATCGAGAGATCGAGAGACAGATTTCTAGTTTGGACTTTCGAAAACTCAACAACTGTGGAACCATGATCAAAGGAATGAGAGAACCTCTATTTTTATAAGGAAGGAAGAGTGGTGGGGATGTTACAAATTTCCCACTTCCCACCATGGGAGGTTTTCCTCCCATTTCTTTCTTT